TTGGTAACAATATTCTGATAAATTTTCTCCCCTTTCCAATGAGCACAATATTCTGATAAATTCCCTCACCTTTCCATTGAGCACAATATTCTGATAAATTTTCTCACCTTTCCATTGAGCACAATATTCTGATAAATTTTCTCACCTTTCCATTGAGCACAATATTCTGGCTCCCACAAAGCACTGACTGGCGGCTCACTTTGTTTCCGGAGGCCTGGGAATTTAATTAAAAAATTTCTCAAATTTTCATTGAGCTGACTGCCATTCATTAGTAACAGTGGAACCAAGTATTACTATACTTACCAGTATTATCAACTAACTGATTACTGTACTAGTACTGCTGTTGACATTTCCAAGTTACATGACAAAATATTTACTAGTAACAGGCTTTTGCAATGATTTTGATTATTTAAAATTAGCACATGCTTATCATTTAAATGCGCATTAACTTTCAGTTCCTTTTTACTTATTTCATTAAGGAAGCCGTAACAGTGTTATCCCTCTACTCTTGTTTGTGATGAATTCCTGATTTTCATTTTCAACATGAATTCTCTAAATTTTATGTGAAGCCTCACCGTTTCAATGTACTGCGCCTTGTTGTAAAACTGGTCGGGCAGTTCCATTTGGATCTTGGAGATGAGAATCAATTTCGATATTTTAATGACAGAATTAATTTCTCATCGCACTTTGTCTTCTTGTCTTTTGTGATTACCACTTTCTGACTTTTAACATGACGTGAGGAAAGATAGCGGAAGCGGAAACCTGAAATTGAAGTGCATCTCTGGAATTCTGGGTATGCCACGTTGAAAACTGCGCATGCCTCAATCATGTGGTTGATACTTCCGTTTAGAGTTTGATTAAAAGCAAAGTCAATAACCGGGACTTTTTTTGGAGTTAAAGGCAGAAAAACTTCAAAGGTGAAAATGATATGATAACGTCCAGAAAAGTAGGTTTTCTTCCTTGTAAAAATTTTGTTATCTATAGTCTCCATTTATGTGAGATAGTTCAACAATGGCAGACCAGTCGCAATATCCACAGTCATTTCAAGGCGTGAGACCGCAAGGTTCAGGACAAAATGCCGGTTATTTTCCCAGCGGAGGTCCTCAGTTTGGTGAGTTCTATGGTTTGATATATATGTTCAGTTAGTATCGATTTGTGTAGTGGTATAAGAACGCTGATAAGTTGCTTACGTGGCAAGATTGACTCGTCTAAGTCTACGTCACACGTTAAGTACTACTAGTTGAACGTTTTAAGTCGATTGATACCTTCATATAAAATCGCCTTAGTCTCGTGAAGTGCTACTAGTATTAGATAACATTGTTAAAAAGCTGCCACTTACATTTAGAGGGAAAATAAACGGTCTATCTCCGTGGGTAAGTAATCTATTGCTCACTGCAGTTAGCCAACAGCCAACTAAGTATTGTCTCAAACCTTAAGAAATGTCCTTCAAACAGAAAAGAAAATATAATACCACATACACTTGGTCAGGTTTCTTTATTTCCAGTAAGTTTAAATGCATGATATTATCAGGAAACTGTTTTTTTTACTTTAAATAGGTGGCAACAATTACAGTGGTGTTTGGTCTATTGACAGAATTAAAGCCATAATTGCCATCACTTGTTTAGAATTGACCTTCATTTGTAATTACCTAAACAACAACAACAATAATAATTGTTATGATAATACTGAAAGGAAAAGTTGTGATATAATAAAAGATAGATAGGATAGTGATCAATGTATTTGATAGCAGCTTTAATTGATTGGAGCAGATTGTAAAATAAGTAATATCCTCTTCGTAGAATCAATCATAGTTGTTATCTAGATAAAAACGAAAGTCACCTGCAGTAAAATATATTCTTGAAGATAAGTCTGCTTCTAAAAAATAATAATTAAAATAAAATAATGATAAAAACAACATAATGTATGGGGAAGGGGGTAGCAAGCAGCAGAAAACTACAAAGATTACCAGGACCCAGTATTATCAGCTTTTTTGGGCTTCAATCTTGCAGGTCCTCCAGGCCAAGGTATGCCCCCAGTGAGCAAGCAGTTTAGTGGCCAGCCAGGTGGTTTCATGCCACCCCCTCTGCCAGGCGGTTCGCAGCCACCCCCTCAGCCAGGCTCCACATTTAATGGACAGGGAGGAGGAGGACCACCCCCAGGTCAGTTTGGCCAGAACAGGTTCCCAGGCCCAGGGGGGCCACCACCACCTAGATTTAACCCTCAGCAACAAGGTGGACTGTCATCAAATGCTGGTCAGCTCCCTCAGGGCCCAGGGGGTCCACCCCCTAGATTTGGTCCACCCCAAGGTCAAGGAGGTCCCCCGCCTAGGTTTGGGCCACCATCAGGACAGCCACAAAGATTTCCACCTACAAGCAGTGTGGGCCCTCAAGGCCAGCTTGGCCCAATGTCACAGGGCCAGATGAAGGGGCCACCACCCCAAGGAGGAATAAATACCACAGCTGGACAAAGTGGATCCCCTTTTGGAGCCCCATCTAATATGAATGGACCTCCTATGGGAGTAAGACCACCCACGTCACAAGTTGGCCAAGGATTTTATGGGCAGCAGATGCCACCAACTTCACAAAACACAGGAGTGCCCCCTCCTGGGCCTCCCTCAAATTTGGCAGGGTTTGGCCCACCCCCAACACACCCTGTGTCCCAAGGTATAGGGGCACCACCTGTGTCCAGACCTCCTGTTAGTAACTATGGCTCCATGGGTCCTCCAACCCTGGGGCCTCCGACTTCCCAGTCCATGGAGGGACAGCCTTCTCCCAGAGGACCCACACAGTTGTCTAATTTATCAGGGAAACCACCCCAGGGATTTGGACCCCCTCCTCCTACTTCCCAGGGTTATGGTCCTCCCTCTAACTTACCGAATACTGGACCACCACCACCAAGACTGGGGGCACCACCCACATCTCTGGCAGGACCGCCACCGCCAAGACTCGGCGCACCACCGACATCCCTGTCAGGAGCGCCACCTATGTCACTGTCAACATCCCAGTTGGCGGCAGGTCCAGCTGATGGGTTGGCTCCTCCACCCCCAAGATACCTGCAAGGTGAGCAGACCAGACCATCTCTGGTGATACTTAACTTGTCTTCCCTGAACTTTAGCTATCAGCTTATTATTAGTTATTTACGGGTGTTTTTAAAGCATTTTTTTTGTCTCACTGTTGAATAATTGACTAAGGAATTTATGTGGTGGCTTTTCAATGGAATAGACTTTCCAGGAATAGACTGGTATTAACATAGTAGCTTGTACATGAACAATAGTCATCCATGCAACACTTAATGCCTTATATGATAATAGACACCATGGTATATAAAACAGTGCTAAGTTAGAGATATAGATAATATATTTAATAACTTTATAATGAACTAACATCAGGTACACATTTCAAACATGTATCTGCTGTTTGATTTGTATTTTTTTTACAATTTTTAAATAATTATTCTGATAAAGTATATTGGTATTGTTTATAAAATCTTAATAACCCTTGGTAAATATGGTTGAGAAATAATTAAAAAATTTTTTTGGAATGGAGACTAATTTCTGTTTTTTGCTTGCTTTTGCACACATCATTTTTATTGACCACCAGTTCAGTGTCAGCTTTGGTTTATGCTCATGTTAATGCATGGTATGTGGGGTAAACATGCTGCACTAATCCAACTTGAAATTTATGAGATAAGAGTATCAAAGGGATAATTTACATGACAAGTTGAGGTGTAGAAAAAATGTGACAACCTCACTGAAGTGCCAGGAAATGGGGAGGCGGGGCTAAAACTGGTATTCAAAGAAAATTTTTGCAAAGTGTTTGAGATAATTTCCTTTAGCAGAAGAAAGAAAGATAACTGATTTGTCAAAATTGGTGTAGTTTTGATTTGGTAAAGACTACTATTTTTCTAAATCTTAAAAATGTGTTTGTGTAACCCCACTGGTATACATATATATACATGATAGACCTGTATCTTCAAATATATGGATATGTCACAGGCAAGATTGAAATCCAGGCTAGATTTTAAACCTGACTAGGCAAGATTGGAATCCCAAGTCACAGACAATTTTAGATTAGTAATTTAATCACATCCCTAATGAAGCCAATTTAGTTATAGAATCTATGGTTAAGAGCATATTTTATTAATCATCTTGCATGTTGAAATTTCAATCTCACCTAGTCTGGATTTCAATCTTGCTTGTGATACAAACATATATCTACATCTATGTAGACAGCATGAAAGACTGTCCTCCTCATCCTCTCTCCTGGCATGCCTCCTTACTGTGTGAACAGTCAGTATATCAGTATACATATATATATATGTCAAGCATTGTTGTTGCAGGTCGTACTACACCTAATGAGCTGCCTAAGCCGTTTCATGGTCAGGCGACTTATTCACACACAATTGCTTATCATCCGAACAGTGCTACACCAACCCCTCTGGGCTCAGGTACTCCCAACTTTACTAACTCTCACGTCATTTATCTGTAATTTTTGGAAAGAAAATCTTTTTTTACATGGGTACATTTTATAACAACAAATGAACTGTATCTGGCCTCCCTAACTACCAGTCAGTTTTTCTGTTATATACCAAAACCAAGTATATTGTAAGTATTGTGTGGAGTGTTCCTGGGTTGTGTGAACAATTTTTAGACTTGTAGAACATGGGTTATGCTGAAAATTAGTTAGGCAGGCCAGTGTATTAATTTAAACAAGAGGATAAAATACTTGGTGGGTAAAACATAAAAGCATGTGCAACTTAATTTGAAAATGTGTGTAGGTTGTGGCTGCTTTGGCTCTCAGGAGAAGGCATTTGCACTAATTGACATTTTTAGTGGGTTTTGTTTTTAGCTGATCATTATTGAAACGTTGCATTCTTTTTTTTTTTTTTTTTGCTTGGAATTTTATCTTTATTGGTAATGTATGTTTGTGAAAAAATGTTTTGATGTCTGTCGTAGATTTTATGATTTCTGGTTTACCTTCCAAAACCCCACATATTCTTGTATCGTTAACAGAATCGCCCCTTTATATTTAAAACTGGAATGGAACTAGCTGATCTTAATTAAATCATGTTTCTCTTTTTCTTCTTAGAACCACCATCTGAGAAATCTTCACGGGATTCTTCTCCTGTTCCTAACCAACAATATGATGTGTTAGAAGGACAGTTTGTGAACACTCCAGGTTTGTGTTGGTTAGGTAGCCCTGATAGTATTAGATCTAAAAGGTGCACACACAGTGAGTGAGGCGTGCACGTGCAAGCTGTTTTCGAAAACAGCAGAGGGTTAAACCAAACGCATAGAATGGACAAAAAACTAAGTTGAAATCGTGTTGTGACTTATGATTAATTTAGATAAACAATTTTAAACACAATTCTTATATCATCTCAACAACTTTGATAGCACTCTCCCTTGTTTTTTTGTATGCCCCTTTAACGAGATCTTGATATACATGTCCTGTTAATCATGCAGGTGTTCCCCCATCAGCCACGCCCCCTCCCCAGGAGATGAAGGCAGGGATCACAGGCAGGAGACAGTACCCTCAGATGGTAAGGCAAAGGCGTGGGGGAGGGGAGGAATTATAGGGATGGGAATTTATTCCTATGGGAGTATGTTAGTTTTGGGAAATGTTTCTTATTGAATAGAAGACTTGTAATATGACCTAGATGTATCTGTAAATAACATGAAATGAATCCTATAAAAATGTAGTATTGAGCCTCTGGGTGAACAGAAGGATATATTATATGCTTAGTTGGTAACATTGATTAATGATTGCTCATTTTAAGAAGTTATTTCCATGGACTATTATCTCAGTAATTGTGCTGATGATGAAAAAAGGAAACAATTTTTATGACCACCCCAATTTTTCATTTGAGGTTAATTAAACATCCATATTTCTATCCATTTCCTTGGATATAATCATACTAATTTCCCTGTGTCAAAATCATCATGTTTTTATATACAAAAATTGTTTATTTCCTGACATATCATTATTTTATTTAATTGGTTCAGACGATACTGAACTTTTTTCATTTGTAGCCTCAAACATATGGACAGCCTCCATCTCAGCAAGTTCAAGGTTATGGACAGCCTCCATCTCAGCAAGGTCAAGGATATGGACAGCCTCCATCTCAGCAAGGTCAAGGATATGGACAGCCTCCCCTTCAGCCCCCAGGACAGGGGTTTGGTCAGCCATCCCCCACCCACAGGTCCTGGAATAATGGGGGGTCCTTACACCCAGCAGCCCCACGGGGGATTTACCCCAGGGAGTACACCAGGGTATCCACAGCCCCAGGGACAGACGGGACAGATGGGCAATAGTATGCCCTATGGAGATGGCCTCAACTCTAGTTTTGGCAAACTAAATTTCCAGGTAAGTGCTCCTAAAGGGTAGATAACTAAAATAGCTGTTTCAAATAGCACCACAGATACATTGTATCTTATTTGTCTTTTTCATTGTTTATATAACCAATAGTTTTAAATGTGCTATATTATTTTAAGATAGACATGTTAAGGTTACACAGTGAGTATTATTTTATCAATTTGAAGTTGTGTTATTATTTCTTAATCATTGTTTGTGTTATTTTCCAGTCACCAGAGTCTAGAGTTGTGAATTTACTACAAGAGCGCAATGTGATTCCTCCAGATGGCGTGGAGACAGTAAAACCCAACCTGGCTCCTGATTTTAAAAAGCTCAACTGTAGTCCAGAGTGAGTATGTCTCTTCAGCCACCAGTGTATGTGTTAGCATGGAAAACAACTCACTTTACAGCCTGTGTAATCTAAAATAGAAAATGGATTTTAACTAAAATCTGTGCTCTCAAATTTTGAAGAGAAAATCAGTTTTGGAAAAATTACAATTAGACAAAGGATATTGATGTTACAACTATGAAAATTTTCACCATCAATGGAGAAAAGTTTCCTGTTTATTTCACTGATATCAGAATCCTGAAACAACTGAAACATATAGAAATCTATAATGAACTCATATTAAACCAATGTTTCTCTCTTCCTATTCCAGTATATTTAGATGTAGATATGTGTAGTAATCTATAATAAACTCATATTGAACCAATGTTTCTCTCTTCCTATTCCAGTATATTTAGATGCACACTGACTACCATACCACAGAGTCAGTCACTGCTGAATAAAGCACGGCTACCACTGGGTATATTAATTCACCCATTTAAGGATTTGACAGTAAGTCTACCCAAGTGCATTTGTTATTAAGAATATTTATATTATCCAATCAGATAACAGTTTTGATCTACTAATTAAGTGCATACCACCTGCTTGTTTCCGCAAGGTGCTTAAGAAAAACTTCCTGACTTTAAGATTAAATGTTTATAAAAAATATTGATTTGTAGATAAATTGTACCACCAGTGCAGAGTTGGCAGTACGCATAGTTTTAGTCCTGACCCATCGCGTCTGCTGTATCCACGGGCTCTGCCGCCTTGTCACCGTTACTGCTTCTCGTAAAATACAAGAGCCCCAGACCCATCTCTTTGATTTAGGTCACATATAATCTCAACTCGTTCCACGTAAATTTTGGGCTTTATCAGTGCTTGGGTCTAGGTGTGGTGCTTGTGGCAATGTACCCTTGTTAGTTACTTTTATCTTGTATTGCAGCAACTGCCAGTTATCCAGTCCAGTGTCATCGTGCGCTGTCGGTCGTGTAGGACGTACATTAATCCATTTGTGGCTTTCATAGACAATAGAAGGTGGAAGTGCAACTTGTGTTATAGGATCAATGAAGGTAAAGTAGAACACAGTGGGGAAAACCTTGAAACCATTCACTGGAACACTCTTAAAGTAAAAGTGAAATAAGAGGAAACTAAACTCTCATCAGCCTCAGTAGACTTTGTTAAGCTCCTGTTCTATAGCATGTGTAAAGATTTTTTTCAGTTTAAAAAACTTTTCAAAGCCATCTCTAGAGATAGTTAATGTGAATTATCACATTTTTTAATGCTTTGATTATAGTATATGGGTAAATTTGGTAGGTTAGTAACCTATCCTTGCCAGGCTGTAACCAATTTAGTAGAGAGTTAAGTGTAATTATAAATTCTAAATATGCTAAATTTAGTCTCTGAGAATATGTATGATCCTGTGAGCAAAATGTATGGCGCTCATTTACAAAGAAGATTGAAGATGTGTTTTGCCTCCATGGAAATTGTTGTTGCAGAACCTACTGGGGTAAGCCATATCGTGCACCTGTTATTTTATGTGAATGTACAGCTTTCTACACAGCACAAATCACTGGTTCAAATTCTCCCCAATTACTTTCCTCCAGCCCCTGAAGAGTTCCAGTATGACCCAGTTAGTAAAACTTTTGGGGACCCAATGAGAAGGCCAGAAATGAAATCAGCAACGATTGAATTTATAGCCTCCTCAGAATACATGGTGAGTGACCTGTGGTGATCGCCAATGATTGATTGTTAATTTATAGCCTCCTCAGAATACATGGTGAGTGACCTGTGGTGATCGCCAATGATTGATTGTTAATAGCTAGTTGCTCTGTTTGTTTGGTGGAAGGTGTTATCCTTGATTTTCAATTAGATTTGTAAATTGCAAAGTATTTTGAAATGGAAGTGCAATACCTTAAAATTAGGATTGATTTAAAAAGTGATGAAAATTTAGTAAAGTTGACATGTCCTCTTAAAGTTTTAAAACAAGAATGTGATGCATTAGTCTCTGACTTGTCATTTTCTTACATATACAGTTTAAGGTTTTATATAAAGCTCTGTACTCTGTGATAAGTGAATATAAAAACATTCTTAAATATTAATCTAAGAAATGATATTGAACTTTCAGCTGCGGCCTCCCCAGCCAGCAGTATATTTGTTTCTGTTGGATGTATCATTTAATGCAATATCAACAGGTGGGTGTGGATAAAATATGTTTAAATTGTTCAGCAACTGTCCCATGTTGTTTCTGCAGAATTTTGTATTTGTTTTAAGTTAAAATGCCCTTAAACCCACCTCTGAATTTATGTCCCATACATTCCTTAGAGTATATGCATTAGGAAGTGCTATAGACAAGAACTTAACTTGATGACAAAAAACAATTGCCAAAGATCTTTGATGGATACTGTAACATATTATTATATCATAGTTTATGGTTTTTTGATATTTATCTTTTTTTTTTGTCAAATTCTGGAATTTAGGCTCTGTCAGAACTGTAAGCAATTCCCAAAACTTTCAGAACCTTAGATTTAATGTGGAAGAGAAATCATAATGGTTTACGATAATTTGTAATTTCAGGGTACTTGTCCTCATTTTGCCAAATTCTGGACGATGAACTGGACCGTATTCCTGGCGATGCCCGCACACTGGTGGGCTTTATAACCTACGACTCCTCTTTATACTTCTTCAACTTATCTGAAGGACTTTCAGCGCCTCAGCTACTGGTGGTGTCTGATATTGAAGGTAAGGAATGCTATTGGTTAGACTGCTCATATTGGATAGCCTGCTACAAAAGGTGGACTATTGATATGGTATTGGTCTAAGAGCATTGCTTACATAAAACATGATGTGGTTAGTCTAATTAGGCTTCATTTAATGACGAAAGGGTTAAAACCAAAGCATTTACATATTTTTTTGTAAAGTGTGTACCATGAAATATATTTGACATGTGTCATGACTATAGAGAACTGTCTTGTTCATATCCTTCAGTGAAGTGTGTGCCATAAAATATATTTCATATGTGCTGCAACTAATGAGTACTGAACATCTAAACTTGCAACAACATAACTTGGTTATTGAAAATTTTAATTTCATTAAGGTAGTCAATATTTCAGATGTATTTCTGCCTATGCCTGATGGTCTTCTAACAAACTTAAGGGACTGTAAAGACTTGGTCAAAGATCTGTTGAGTCAGTTACCCAAGATGTTTGAAGGCAACAAGGAAACCAACAGTGCCCTGGGGGCAGCTATGCAGGCGGGGCTTAAAATGATGGTAAGAGCCATGAGAATCGAATTTCTTTTGTTGGAAAAGGAAGTACTTTAGGGCATATCAGCGTACATACTTTTTATTATTCTTTACATATTATGTTTCTTTTCTTGTTATAATAAAAAAAATTGAAATAACAGTTGTCATCTTTATCATTATTATTAAGTTTTTAGTATTCTGATGGTTGATATAATTCTCTGTTCAGACAGCCACTGGGGGTAGGATATCAGTATTCCAGACCTGTCTGTAGTAATATCTTTGATATATCCACAGTATTCTTATTGTTGATATAATTCTCTGTTCAGACAGCCACTGGGGGTAGGATATCAGTATTCCAGACCTGTCTGTAGTAATATCTTTGATATATCCACAGTATTCTTATTGTTGATATAATTCTCTGTTCAGACAGCCACTGGGGGTAGGATATCAGTATTCCAGACCTGTCTGTAGTAATATCTTTGATATATCCACAGTATTCTTATTGTTGATATAATTCTCTGTTCAGACAGCCACTGGGGGTAGGATATCAGTATTCCAGACCTGTCTGTAGTAATATCTTTGATATATCCACAGTATTCTTATTGTTGATATAATTCTCTGTTCAGACAGCCACTGGGGGTAGGATATCAGTATTCCAGACCTGTCTGTAGTGATATCTTTGATATATCCACAGTATTCTTATTGTTGATATAATTCTCTGTTCAGACAGCCACTGGGGGTAGGATATCAGTATTCCAGACCTGTCTGTAGTAATATCTTTGATATATCCACAGTATTCTAATTGTTGATATAATTCTCTGTTCAGACAGCCACTGGGGGTAGGATATCAGTATTCCAAACCTGTCTGCCTTCAGTAGGGCCTGGGTCACTGCAAGCCAGAGAGGATCCCAACGCTAGGGCTGGCAAGGTAGGCAGTGGACAGTGTTGCAAGAATAGCAGTGATGAAGTTATGGATTTGATAGTTGAACGTGGCAGTGTGTTTTCAACATTTCTGTGTTTATTAATAAAAACTGTTACAAAATTAAATCTTGACTGTTGAGTGCAAATAAGCTGCCAATGTAGAGTGTATGGTGTATTTTACAAATGTTTATTTAATAGCAGTTATGACAGTAAAATTATGATTGCATTTTTTATTTATTTCATATGATAATATTTATTATTTATATTGTATTTCTAGGCTGTAGCCCACCTAGGCCCTGCCACAGACTTCTACAATTATTGAATAAGATAATACTATTTAATATGTGCTTTTTATTACTAGGCTGTAGCCCACCTAGGCCCTGCCACAGACTTTTACAAGAAGTATGCACTGGACTGCTCTGCTCAGCAGATAGCAGTGGATATCTTCTTCCTCAATGGGCAGTATGCAGACATAACGTCTATAGGTAGGTTGTGGGTCTGTTCAGTGGGCAGTATGCAGACATAGCGTCTATAGGTAGGTTGTGGGTCTGTTCAATGGGCAGTATGCAGACATAATGTCTATAGGTAGGTTGTGGGGCACTCTTGGGGACTCTCAGAGACCTTGGTTGGTCCATTGAGAATACTGGTGAAATACTCCCAGTTCTGTGATGTAATAAGCACAGAAGATAATTGATCACCTTGTCCCATATGGGAAGAAATGCACCCCCCCCTTGTTTGTTAATGCTCAGCTGTTCTGCCCTCTCATGTATAGTTTCATTTACAGAGGGAGATGCAACATCAAATAGAGAGATGTTAGTCCAGTAAAAAATATTAATGGCATATCTTAATGTGAACATGACTGGATGAGTTACATAGTATTTACATGTTGTTCTTTAGATATATATATATTTAGATATCTGGGGCACGTGGGGGGTTGGGGGGGGGGGGAGAGGGGGTAGTAGGGGGGGGGTCTGTGCAAAGGTGGGGAGAATGAAGAGTTTCCATTAAAACTGCAGAAACTCATTAGACTTATACCTGTGTACATATCTGAATGAAATACATCTTTAAATACTTCCAGTAGGGGATATCATATTAAAATGCAGTCAAGTTAAAGCATTTATCTTTCTTGTTCCAGCTTGTGCATCCAAGTTTTCAGGGGGTGACCTCCACTACTACCCCATGCTGCACTCTGTGGCGAATCCCGCTGAGGTGGAGAGGTTTGAGAACGACCTGAGGAGGTATCTGACCAGAAAGATAGGGTTTGAGTCTGTGATGAGAGTAAGGTGCACAAAAGGTAAATTTTTATTATTTTTTTTTATGTTATAAATAAAGAAATAATGATAATAAAAAATTATATGTGTTTAATTAATCTTATAAGTAGTAGCAACATTTCTTATATTTTCATTCTCAAATTAAATTGCTTGTATTTTGTCTTTAAGTTATTACATTACAGCAGCTAGGTAAGGGACCATTCACAATGAGTTATGTCGACCTAGCTATGTGCACTTACTCCACAGGCACTCTCGCTAAATGCAATCAGATAACGGGCTGTAAGACTCTTCTTGTTTCCAACTTGGATATTCACCAACATTTTTGTATCCTAGATAATGCCAGGAGGCAGCATGTCAGTCTGATAATCTGATTACATTTAGCGAAAGCCCCAGTGAAGTTAAAGGGCACTCGCTAGGTAAACACAAATCTTTCTGAACAAACACTTTCTAAATTAAATGTGAAAAAAAAAAGCGTTGTCTCTTCAAGGCCAATGCATACAATTGATTCCTCTTTGCTTTTAGGTTTAAGTATCCATACCTTTCATGGTAATTTCTTTGTGAGGTCCACGGATCTCCTTAGCTTACCCAACATCAACCCAGACGCTGGCTTTGGCATGCAGGTTTCCATAGAGGACAATTTGCATGAGAGTTCCACAGTGAGTTTTCAGGCAGCTCTCTTGTATACGTCCAGTAAAGGGGAGAGAAGGATCCGTGTCCACAACTTGTGTTTGCCAGTGACCAACCAGTTGACTGATGTCTTCTCTGGTGCTGACCAGCAGGCCATAGCAGGATTGCTGGCTAAGATGGGTGGGTACTTCATGGGTTTGTTAGCTGGATTGCTGGCTAAGATGGGTGGGTACTTCATGGGTTTGTTAGCAGGATTGCTGGCTAAAATGGATGGGTACTTCATGGGTTTGTTAGCAGAATTGCTGGCCAAGATGGGTGGGTACTTCATGGGTTTGTTAGCAGGATTGCTGGCTAAGATGGGTGGGTACTTCATGGGTTTGTTAACTGGATTGCTGGCTAAGATGGGTGGGTACTTCATGGGTTTGTTGGCAGGATTGCTGGCCAAGATGGGTGGGTACTTCTTGGGTTTGTTAGCAGGATTGCTGCCTAAGATGGGTGGGTACTTCATGGGTACTTCATAGCAATATTGCATTATGTGATATCTAAAGTAATTGGTCTAGATGTGCCACATTGTCACTTTCCATAAAGATGCTCTCTTATGCTGGTATGCACACACAATCTACATAATTTACATCAAGTAACTACTGTGAGACAGCTGAGCTTATTTCTTTTTATGACAAGATTGTTATGTAATGACTCCAGTAAAAAGCTATCTGCAACAGGTTTAGTCTAATGGACATGTCTTTGAAATTGACAGTGGTAACACTAACAGATGACTTTTTTTTCTCGTAGCTGTGGACAGGTCGCTCAGTTCTAGTCTGATGGATGCCCGCGAGGCTATGGTTAACGCTTGCATGGACGCAATCAGTGCATATGCCAGCAGTATTCCAGCCTCTCAAAGGATAGGCACCCTTCCTTGCTGTTACTCTATTAGGTTACTCCCAATGTATACACTGGCCTTGCTCAAGTCTGTGAGTATTACAGGGAATTGGAATGTAGAAGTGGGCTTGTGTTACATGATTGTTGTTGATTTTTTTTTACCTTCAAGATCTGTTTGTGGAATCTCTTCCTTAGAATGTTGACATATTCAATTTTAACAGTAGTCCTGGTTTCTTGTTATTTGTATGGCCCACTCATGTTCAGTGCATTTTTATTACACGCTTTTTGTTTGCAAATCTGTTTAAAAATATTTTGTCAGATTTAAAAAAATGATTTTTGCAGTATTTATAAATGGTATCACTTCTTACACAGGAAACAATATAATACACCACTCATGTTTATATAATATTCTTACTGATAACACAGGGGATAACATTACACAAGTATATATAATATATCAATAACTTATTTCTAGGCTGCCTTCAGGGTTGGAGTAAGCACAAAGTTGGATGACCGTGTGTTCTTTATGGAGATGTGCAAGTCTTTACCTCTTAATTATATCTTGTTAAAGCTGTATCCCAGTATGTACCCTGTGCACAATCTGGAGGATAAGGTAATTAGGTTTAGTTCCAGTCATTACCTCTTAATTATATCCATGAGTAGAAAACGGTTTGTTACCTCAGGAAATTTAATTTGGTTGGAAAAATCCCATGGACTAGCCCTTCAAAAAAGTGTATGTTTGAGTTTTAATTATCATGTCAAATATCTTCACATATTTCATGCCTGCCTTTCAGCATTGAAAATAGTAACCACAGTGACAGTCAAGAGATTTAAAATGCCAATGAGATAGTTGAAATTTAAAACTAATTTAGAATTCCACATTTAGAAATATGAAATAGATATTAAATTGCTTGTACAAAAACTTGTGAACTGTTTGAGGTATAAACTCCAGTAGACTTTACTTTCATTATAATTGTTTTATTTTGGTTCCAGAATTCCATCAGTAAGGATGACCAGATGATTCCTCAACCTCCACATCTTCAGTTATCCTCGGCCAACCTGGACAGACAGGGCGTTTTCCTGCTGGACGCTGGGGACGAAATGTTTCTGTATGTGGGCGGGGCCGTCAGTGACCTCTTTTGTCAGGAGGTCTTGGACAAACCTAACTTTTTGTCAGTGCCAGACGGAATGGTGAGGGTGGACATTTATTTAAATATTGTAAAGTTAAATATTAAATGCCAGTGAAATTGTAGGGAAACCCAACTTTTTACCAAGTTCATTTACAAAAACTGAGAGAAAAAGATCACAAAAGATACGTCTCATTTAATAAATTTTTTTTATCCTTATGATTTCAGTCACATTTGCTACTGAATTTAATTAATGATTATCGTTTCAGACTGATCTTCCTGAACTAGAAAACCCAACATCTGAGCGGCTTAGGAATTTTATCAATTATTTACAAGATCAGAGACCTTTTCACTCCAAGTTCTTAGTTGTCAGGTATGTTATCTGTGGCATTAGGTCACATGGTCCTTTCGATATTTTTAGAATTTTATATCTTAGTTGAAAAAAAAGAAAAGAATGTTCATAAAAAGTTTTCTAAAGTATAAAAGGGCTAAGGGCAGTTCACACAGGTTAATTTTGTTCATTTGCAGGGAAGACAGCAAAGCTAGAATGCAATTCTTCAAATACATGGTTGAAGATAAAACAGAAGCCAGTATGTCTTACTATGAGTACCTTCAGAGTATACAAAAGCAGTTGAAAGGATGAACAATCAACAATAGGACTTTACTGTACTCCACTTGGGACAATTTCCCAAGAAAAGTGTCATTTTAAAGCAGTTCTGCTGGGACAGGTGACCACATGTTGTTTACAAAGCAGGCAAAGTTTCTACAGTGATTTGGTCATTTAAAACTGCCAAAATGAAATATATATATATATATATATATATATATATGAAAGGGTTAAAGATGCATGGTCCAATGATATACTGCAGAAAAATCACTACCTAGGATCTGATTAACAAGTTCCTGGCATGAAATCTTGTGTGATGGTGTGATAAGCTACATTGATTGAAGTAGTATCTGTGATGGATGGACAGAGATGCATGTCCATTTTGTATATATACATAAAAATGAATTAACCATGAAATATTGACCAGAACCTGCCTGTTTGCTTCAGAACTGACATTTAGTAAGCTTCAAATAGGGTGAAAATTCCCCTTCTTGATTGTTGACACTGTGTGGTATACTTAAATATAAACTTGCAAAGGAGAATAATGCAATCATAATGCATGCAGTATAAAGTACTTGTAATATAAATTGGAATTCTTTTTAACAATAGTTTCTCTCTGAGAAACTAGTGTGTTTAATGTAGCGCATTTCTATTTATTTCCTATTCAAACAGTGGTGCATGAAAGTTGTTGAACTATACCGATGGTTGTAAATTTGAAGTCGAGGACCCTGTGCTTTAAAGAAGAAACTTCATACCAAGATTTTTATGGACATTAAAGTCTGTCATAAGAAAACTTAGTTTTGTGTTTTTCTTCTTCTCTTACTGTTCTTTCTCAAATAAAGAGTCAACAAACTAATTGTGAGGACAATTTTAACAGAATTACAGAACTAATACCATTTCCTCCTGTAACCTGATTTGGAATTGGAAAACTTAAAGGGCTATCCATACACCAAATGTGTCAAATATATCGCAATACTGGAAGGTCCTCCGTTCCTCGAACAATGAAATCCACTTTCACTGGACACTGTAAGACTGTGGTTAAGAATTCTTCAGCAAATCCAATTTGAAAAAAAAGGAGGTTGTATCCTTTCCTTGGTGGAATTGCAGCTGATACAGTGATCACATTGTATTTCCTTTTTATTATGTAGTCATTTACTCCCATCAATTCACTTAAAAGCTTTCTGATGTAAGCATCTTCCAATGCAGTTTCTGAGGATCTGGATTCTCCATAAAGATTACCTGGATTATAAGACCATTCAAAACACTCACTTAAAGATAATAAACACAAATTAACACAAAAAATATTAGGATATGTAATCATGTGATAATATCAAAGAATTAAAAACTACAGATGTCCTATCAACAGGAATGACATTAATATTGTCCTTACTCTAAAAATTGCAAGGAACACTATTTATGAACTACTGTAGAACATGTTAAGAATCAAATACAATGATGTCCAAAAAGGGGTATTCTTTCCTTCTGCAAATTATTTACATTCAGGTTTAAAAACTACAAGATTTGTGATTTTTTAACAAAGTGCTTAGGGATAAAAGAATAATTCTCTTAGACTCCAGGACCAAATGACAGAATGTAAACCTTTTTCAAGTCTGATAAAAATTCTTTACAAGGTCACAAACTAAAAGAAAGACACACAGCCTTTTAACCACTTTTCAAATCTGTGTGAACCCTGCAAGAATTGTGCATGGCTCCAGCTCCTGTTCTGCTCCACCTCCATTTTGGCTGCAATTTCAGAATAAAATCCAAGATTCATAAATACCACAGTTAACATACTGAACAGCTAGGCTAGAAGACTAACCCAGGCCCGTAGCCAGCAATCTCAAAAGGGGGGTTCTTTTTCTGAAAAAGTGGACCTTTTACCATGAAAACTTCATGTACCTAGATCAAATTTTACCCAGGGTGGACCTTTTCCCAGCAAAAGGGGCGGTTCTTTCGAACCCCCCGAACCCCCCCTGGCTACGGGCCTGCTAACCACAGCATGAACTTACTAGTATTCCATGTTAGCCATCCTTTCCTAACTCCCAGATGGTGAGGGGCAGTGGCCTTTTCATACAGAATACCATGGTTCCCCGCTGCCGATCTCTTGGGGATTGCAGCCCTCCTGTTCTTCAGATACACAGCACTGGTTTTAATCCCTCGCACTGGGCACGTGTTACAAGTACGCTGTAACACTGCTAACAATACTGAGTTAGTCTGAAAATGATTGGAAATGGTATGTTAATAAATGTTTGCAGGAGAAATATATTCTGTTTGTCTACTGATGAATTCTAATTCTATTCGTAAAAGGAAAATATGTACGAAAAAAATAAAACATCTTTCACTGGACAATTGAATAATTTGGTGCATTACGAATAAAACAAAGTGGAGACCTCTACATTTATGCATTTGACTCCAACATCCTATTAGCCAGCTTATAAGTTCCATATATCATGTTATTATCGCCCTGTTAAAATGTTATATTCATATAATGTTATAATGCCTTCATTAGCCAACTTTAAACAGCCCTACCCATATATATCATTATTTATGTTATTATGACTAATACGTTTTGGCACGGATGATTATTTTATTGTGTCAAGCAAATAGTAATGAGCCTCGCATGTCTAACATCCCGTAGCCACACTAAAAGGCTACTCGTAATTTCCTCTCACCAACATTGCCCTCCTTTCAGCAGCCGTGCGCATGTGCACTGTAAACTTCCTTTGTCGTATAACAGATATATTTTAATTGGCAGAATGGTCTAGATGTGTCACATCTTATCCAATCAGAATCCATGTCGCAAATAATTTTTACTTCCGGTTATAGCAAGCGACGTAGCCATATTGCTTCGTGGTAGTGTACTTTGCATTTGGGTAAGTGACACACTGGAATATTGTCAAACAGTCCTTCATTATTTGACGATCGAAATTTTCTAAGTACGTAAATTTAAATGAAGAAATAAGATTTCATTATTGTGTTTATTTAGGTATTCACTTTAAAACTGTGGTTGGCTAAGCCTTTTATGACTTGTGATGAAAGTTCTGTTCGTGGGACTTAGTCATTCGTCTTTGTAAACTTTGATGTTCCGTTTAAACACAGGAAATTTGTCGCAAATTGAAATTCTTTCTCATTCATGAATGAAAATGTTTTTCAGCTTTGCCCATGTAAGCTAGTTTTGAAAGCAGTTTTATATTTTGTATGAAATGTTTCTGAACAGGAAATTCCTATTAATTTAAGAATTTTACCCCTTCACTACTATTATATTATAAGTTATAACCTACAGTAAGTAACCTAACAACCTAACATCTCTTGTAGAAAAATGTTAAAAACATAGTTATTTCAATGATATGAACCATTTGGAAGTTTTTTTTTCTTTGCTGAGAGTGTCACTACATGTGTTATTATATTCTAGTTGAGTTCACACAAATCCACCAAAATGTTTTTATGGGACTGGCTTACCGGTATGCTCAACTTTTTAGGTAAGTGATACCTTATATATTATTGTAAAAAACTTGTCAGTAAATATATCTGAAATTATGGAATAGGATGAAATATTGCTGACATTTCTCTTTTGGTAATTTATTTCTGTTTGGTTTTGATTTTGTGAACTCTCTCATTTGTTTATCTCATATTTTTTATCTCAGTTTTTCATTGTTTCTTTTAATTAAGAAACATTCACAGAATAAGAAAAGATTTAGACAAGTGTCATCAATAATAATGAATGGGGTGGTCCAGCCATTCTGTTGATATAGAGAAGATTGGTAAGCAGCCACAGAAATTACTCTGATTTTAACACAGACATTGGTACAATAGGTTTGAGAAGGAAATCGGGCAAGTTGATATTTTTGGGTCTGGACAATGCTGGTAAAACCACCTTATTAAGTATGCTTAAAGCTGGTCATTTATCCCAGCCAGTGCCAACTCTGCACCCAAGTAAGTATGTGGTACGTCATGAGGTCACAGTGACCTTGTGTGGCATGTCATGAGATTACAGTGACCTTATATGAGGCATGTCCTGGGTGTGGTTGTCTTGCTGGTTTGCAGATTATTTCCATTTTGCATCTTGCATACACCATGCATTCAGATAAAACATCCCCTCACCTGTGTTAGTTTTATATATAAAGATATCTGTGGGTGTGTTCAAGGGAAACAAAATTGAAAATTATATGCGAGGCATTTTTGCTTCTGTGCATAGGTGTATATATATGTAGATTATTGCATAGTTGTATGCATAGTTGTAGAAGAACAGTATGGAGAAATACTGAATGCAACATGAAATTCAGTACTGTTCAGATGTTTAAAAACAAACGTGCCCCTCTTCCCTTAAAAAGAAGATAAAAAAGATGAATTTTTGAAAATAATGACATATGACATGTTAATATTATATTATATTGAAAAAAAATGTTTTGGTTACAAATTGGTGATTTTCAAAGACATCTGCACAGCAGTATTTCCTGTTTGATGGCAGAGCAGTGTGGATGTTATCCCAGCAGTGTGGATGTTATCCCTGCCTTGCCTGTTAACACTGCACATAACCTGCATGCTACTCTACCAAGTTTGTGTTGTTTTATTGTTTCAGGTTTGTATAAGAAATCTGGAAAGCTAGTGTTCCTTGGCTTGGACAATGCAGGCAAGACCACACTGCTTCACATGTTGAAAGATGACAGGCTTGCACAGCATGTACCCACATTATATCCAAGTAAGTCCTGACACCACATTATATCCAAGTAAGTCCTGACACCACATTATATCCAAGTAAGTCCTGACACCACATTATATCCAAGTAAGTCCTGACACCACATTATATCCAAGTAAGTCCTGTCACCACATTATATCCAAGTCTAGACACCACATTATAACCAAGTAAGCACATTATGTCCAAGTAAGTCCTGACACCACATTATATCCAAGTAAGTTCTGACACCACATTATATCCAAGTCTTGACACCACATTATATCCAAGTAAGTCCTGTCACCACATTATATCCAAGTAAGTCTAGATACCACATTATATCCAAGTAAGTCCTGACACCACATTATATCCAAGTAAGTCCTGTCACCACATTATATCCAAGTCTAGACACCACATTATAACCAAGTAAGCACATTATGTCCAAGTAAGTCCTGACACCACATTATATCCAAGTAAGTTCTGACACCACATTATATCCAAGTCTAGACACCACATTATATCCAAGTAAGTCCTGTCACCACATTATATCCAAGTAAGTCCTGTCACCACATTATATCCAAGTCCTGTAGTAAAGCTTGCTTGTTGCCAGTTGTGGATTGGCTTGATTTTGGAGTGAAGTTAAAAGATTGTTACCAAACTGCAGACAAGCACATTTGCTTATTAGCCTTGCAAAGTTTTGATTTTGTATATTTACTGACATGCATATTTACTCTCTAAATAAAATAATATTGATGTAAAATCTCTCTCTCTCTCTGTTTTTCTCTCTCTCCCTCACACACACACACACACACACACACACACACACACACACATTCATACATAACTAAAATATTGATTATGTAATTTAAGTATGTATTTTAATAAGGGCAGAGGTCATTAGTTAACATTGATACATACATTTCAATGAATTAAAATGCTTTCTAAATTTATATTGCAGCATCTGAGGAGCTGTCTATGGGAGGAATGAAATTTACAACATTTGACCTTGGTGGACACAAACAAGGTACTTGTACTTTCAACTTGCCTTTTCTGTAACATATGCTATATGTGTGGGTAACACATGGTAAATGAAATGGTTACACATGGTATATATGTATGGGTAACACATGGTATATGTATATGGATAACACATGGCACATATGTATGGATAACACATGGCACATATGTATGGATAACACATGGTATATATGTATGGGTTACACATGGCACATATGTATGGGTAACACATGGCACATATGTATGGGTAACACATGGTATATATGTATGGAAAACACATGGCACATATGTATGGATAACACATGGCACATATGTATGGGTTACACATGACACATGTATGGATAACACATGGCACATATGTATGGGTAACACATGGTATATATGTATGGATAACACATGGTATATATGTATGGGTTACACATGGCACATATGTTTGGATAACACATGGCACATATGTATGGGTAACACATGCTTTATGCATTTTAAAGGTGATCTAGTTGCTGCGGTTTTACTCTCATCTCCTCATATAGTTGTGAAATATATATTTACTTTCCTCTTATAGCAAGAAGAGTTTGGAAGACATACTTTCCAGCTGTAGATGGAATAGTGTTTTTGATAGATGCTTTTGACAGAGAGAGATTTCCTGAAGCCAAAGCAGAATTAGAAGTGGGTAAAAGGAATTAAATTTTTCATTTATTGTAAATAAGTAAGTAAATTTTATGTCAAATTTTCTTTGCAATCAGTTTCAATAAATAAAAATGTGTTTTAGGAGTGTATAAAACTCAAGTGCAGTTTGGAAAAAAATTCACATTGAAACCTCTGCACCTTTAATTTGACTGACTCAGAGGTAAAATGATAGCAATGACTTTGGTTCCAGAGTCTGTTGACAGATGAACAAGTGGCCAATGCGCCAGTGTTAATTCTAGGCAACAAAATAGACCGCCCTGGTGCTGCTAGTGAGGATGATATTAGGGCCTGGTTTGGACTACATGGTATGACTACAGGAAAGGTATGCCCAACTCTTTAGTATGCTCTTGGTATTGTAGATAAGTCAGTCCATAGAAATGTAAACATTTTGCTTGTTTTATATCATGTTTTGATAACTGTTGATTTGTCCCTTGCATTGGAGGTTGATATATTTAAAACTGAAAGCAACAATTCAAGAAGAAACTAGTAGTAGAAATCATTTGTAAATGTTTTTATGACAAGGCTTTAACAAGCATTGTTTAAAATCTAGTTGAGATAATCAGTAAAAATGGTACAGGTTGGCAGTCTTATTGTGAGAACTTGCCAGAAGTTGCGTGGCAGTTTTATACTGTGAACTTAATGGGATCTGTACTTGTTTCAGCGTCAGGTGGCAAGAAGTGAGTTACCAGGGCGTCCCATGGAACTGTTCATGTGCAGTGTGCTAAAGAGACAGGGGTACGGAGAAGGTTTCCGCTGGTTAGCACAGTACATCAATTAGGTCATCACATTAAGCATTAGCACTGGACAAATGACTAAGACATTGTAACTGAAGACATTTGGGGGGGGGGGGGGTTCTTTTTCAGGTCAGGCCTATTGCAGAGTGTTCACTGCAAAAAGAAGGCTCTGATTGGAAGGAAAAATACTTATTGCCCATAGGAAATAGAAAATATGATGGGGCAACATTTACAACTGCTATGTAAACTGAACACAGCAATGGAGATTTTTTTTAAACGTGAAATACAGGATGAAATAATGTAAGGAAACCTGAACAGCCTGTACCAGTACAAAGGCAAAGATTTATTATGGTAGAATTAACAAAAAAGGGTTTAAATGCACTAAGAGCATTGTTACCAAGCTGTACTGTTACAATATTTAATATATCTGATGGTGTGTTGGGACTTTGAACAGTGGTAATTATTGCAATCTTGTACAAAAACATTCAACATAATATCACTGATAAAAGCTTAGTTAGGAAGGATATATGTACAACTTGGACATCCATGATACTGAAATGCTAGGAGTATATCATATTGAGATACGTTCATCAGAAAGGACTTGGATGGCTGTGATATTGGCATTGTATGTCCCAACTCAGCTACTGGAGAATCTAATAGAATTCTTTTTTATTACATTTGAATTTATTTATTTGTTTATAGATTAATTTATAATTAAGATGAATAGACTGCACCTTGTTAATTTAGCCATTCCAGTAGTAGCTGTAGATAGTAAACCATAAATATGATTTGAAACACTATTTATTTAATCTATAACTAAGAGAACTACGTGGATTGTAGTCAGTGCCTGCCTTGGTCTGGAGCTGCTCGCCCCTAAATACTGGATGTGTCACTCAAGAGGAATAAAGTCAACTATGTGCCAAGAAAGACTTGCTGGCTGACATTGTCTCCATATTCTGGCACAAAATGAAGTATTTTTGTAGGAATGTTATGGGCAGATTTTATATCAGAGTTCCAAAGTTCTTTTTAAAATATTTCAGTTGTTTCTGCACAGTCTATGCTTCTACTAGTTAATCTGGAGGTGCAGTGTCAGTGTTGTCCTCACAGAAAAATAAAACTTCCTATCGACCTAGACACCCGCCTTAATGCCTTGGTAAACGTTTGATTACATATCAGCTGAATGTGTCATCGTTATGTAGCAAAATCTTTGGCATTCTTTCTTTGATCACTTACGATTTTCAGTTCTGATTCATGTTATGTTGGCTGATAGAGTGTTTAGGCTGGGTTTATCTCCATGGCTGACAACGTTGTTATAAAGGCGTCAGAAAAAAAAGACTGCTCAACACGAGACCGCATCAAAATACGAGTCCACTTGTACTTTAAAGTTGGGAACAGTTTTGAGATTAGCCATGTTTGATTAACCCTACCTCCAGGTTCAGAAAAGTGCACTAAATTCTGCCTGCTCATGTAGTATGTGTCCCTGCAAACTGTTGCTTATAGATAAATTTAACAAGTGTCAGTTAATTGTACATCACCAGGTGACCAGTTTCATTCGTACTGGTCTTTTTGTATCGAATAAAAATGTTATACATATACGCCATATGTTATGCTGTTTTAAACTGGCAAAGTAGCATTTATCGGATTCTCTCTAGTTTGTAAGGATTCTCCCTTTATCCTTTCTTATATTGTCGACTAGAATTGATTGAATTGTTCAAATGATGGCCATAGATCCACAGAAAATTAGACAAGGGTGTTGGTGCAACTGCAAGGGAAGCAAGCTTTTTATTACTTCACAGACGAACACCATACCGCGAAACTGTATAACAATGAAAAATTATCAAAACGCAAAAAAAGAACGATTTTTAAAATATTAAGTAAAATTATTTGCGTTAAATACAAAATTGTTGTAAATTTTCTTTTTCAAAGTTTTGTTTTATCAAATGAAATAGATAACATCCTATAGATGCGAGTCACTTATGGGGGATGTCGTGTCTTGCACGTAATAATGCCAAGTGAAGTTGACTACAGTCGCCATAGCAACTTCAGTGTGCATCCGACATCGTGTACTTTTAACGTTCTCTTTGCGAGTAATTGAATCAGGTGCCAGTAAGATTATTTGTAAGATAATTAAGATGATTAACTGGTGACCAAGACGAACATCATACTAAGAGCCTTCTCTTGTTTAGATTTCTTGATGAGAAACCATTGTTCCCACCTCAATTCCTATTTCATCTTTGCAATGTTGTCAATTTGGTAACCGTAAGAATAGAGCATGCGGCAACTGTTGGAAGATTTTTTTGTGTGTTTGCAAAGCAACAGTGGTTCTCAAGAGTAAGTTCAAAGGCCATGGCTCTAACAGCGTAACAAATTAATTTGCTCTATTCTTAGATTGGGATCAAATAAATGTTATAATTCCGGACAAGCTAATCGTGAGATACGCAATTACAACAAGGGTTCAATTAAAACAAGATGAACTTTTTACACTTCGAGCGGGTGGTAAAAACAAGGCAGACTCCATACTGTGTGTTGCCCTGCTGACAGTATTCACAATAACAATACATATGTTAAATAAATGAAGTTTATTGCACAAAATAACAGACAAAACACAACAAGTCACAAAAATAAGTTTAAAAAGTTCAATTAAAAAGTTCTGAGTCAATTAGTAGGCATGGGAGGGTAAATACAGTCCTTGTCGTGATAGGAAGGCAATGGCTCGTTCAGCCACTCGTTGTAATGGTTCTTATTAAGAAACTCCTTCACCTCGGCGTCGTACTTCTTGAATGTCTCTGGGTCTCTAGCGAGGACATACAGCCCGAGTCTGTTAGTGTCACTGACCACAGAATACTGGTACTGACCATTGATGACCGGTCCCAACTTGATGACCCAGTCTAAAATGCATGTCAAATACATTCATTTTAACACCGAGACAGAGATATGATATGATAAGATGATGCTTAGTACCGATATAATATGATATGATAAGATGATGCTTAACACTGAAAATAATTAACAAATGTAAGATGGTTATTGGAGATATTGGAACAGCGGTAATACATGTATCTTCCTAAAACAAAATTAACTTTTTATGGGGGGGGGGGGGGGGATGCATGAATAATGATTGCAAGGGTCAACAAGTGCCGTAACGAAAAATGCTGAATGCTCTAAATTTGGACATGGCTATAAACCTCATGATCAATAATTCTGAAAAGCAAGGTAAATGAACTATTCGGAAAACCAACAAAAATAACACTAAGAACGAAAGCTTTAAACAACTTTATTTAGTGAAAAAACATGAAAATTGTTGCAAGGTAATAAAGGGTATTCAAATGATCTATGGCCTATGTCCAGCTTTTGACTTACAGTTTCCAGTGAAGGGCACCCCAGCCAAATTCAACTTGAACTTGCCGGACTCCTCTGTGGCGTAGGCGTGTCCTCTGATGGCCTGTTCTTCGCCAGTTGGCCCTCCTTTCCTCCCCGAGTTAAACACGGTGATGGTGGTGTCGTTGAATTTGCCGTCTGTGGACAAAAATACCAATATATGACTTCCGTTTGCAGATAGTTTTATGATGCACCCAAGCTTGCACTAAATTTCGGGGTTTCAATAACATGGATTTGAAAGTAGATTTAAATCATTTACATAAATCATTATCTGACTGGCATTTGGCGTGTTCTTGGTTGAAATGGTTATTTCACTCTTACATTTGCCTAAAACATGTCACTTGGTCATTCTAAGCAAAGGCGAGTGGCAGAAGTGTGTTTATAAAATGTGGTATTCGAACTGGTCACAGATATGAGGACAATAGGGCTGTGGTCAACTTACACGTAGCTGTCACACAGTATCCTTTGGGAGCGAAGATGGAGCTCCAGCGGCTCAAGTACACCTGGAATCCCGGGTAACGAAAGGTTTGTTAGATTTTGATTCATGTCATTCTGTTCCTCCCTCCCCTCTCCGACGAAAGTTTTAAACAAAAATCGAACATTAAAGCTTCCCTTCATAATGTGTTATCAGAAATAAGTAAAGCAAAATAAAAGTGAAGAAAATTACTAGGATATTTTTAGCTAAACGTTAACGTGTCAAGAAAATGGCAGTTATATCTTTTATCTGTACCTGGATGATATATTCTCAGCTTCTGAACAATCTCGGTGTGAACTGCATAGCTTACCTGATACCATCTTCCAGTATATTTGTTCACATCAATCTGAGAAACAGTGGCGATGGACTCCTTAAAAAGTCCCGCCAAGAACGCGCTGCTGGAGGCCACCAAGGCCAGAGCGAGGAGAACGTTGAGAATCTGCATGATGAAGACAAAGATGAGTCTGTTGCTGGCTCGGTTTGTGCTCTATGATGGTGCCAGTGCTGGTTTATATAGGGCCCTCTTTACATAAACTTGGTTTTATAACTATCCCGAGGGTGTGGCAGGTCACAGCACGTGGACAACCATGTGGTCCTGACAGCTGGCTCCTCCCCACGGGATTAGCCGTCAGTGGGGACGGGGACATCTGGAACTGACCAGCGACGTGACAGCAGGGAAACAGCAGTTTATTGGATTGAAATACTTCAAATTGATTTTATACTGTATTTAAGAATTGTTCCGAGTCCGTTAAGTTTAGGAAAGCTTCCGCGCAGCGAATAAAGCACCTCTCTAAATTTTTTATTTTAAATATTAAAATCATAAAGCAACGATCAAAGTAAAATTTAGACTAAATATTAATTAAATATTTCGTTACAAATATCGGAGGTAGATGAAAAAATGAAAAAAAAAACATAACATTTACCCTGAGAAAATGATTTCAAGATGTGATGTTTCCATGGCAACAACGGTGAACATTGCACAAGACGTAGACACTGTACGGATGACACACATTGTGGACAACGTGCTTGACCATACGTAACGTGGAAGTCCACGTGCTATAGTGACAGCTGTTAATTCTGATACGTAATGCCGACATGACATGACGGAGAACCGCCTGTTAAAGGCATAATAACTCTTTGTATGATACCTATATTTCACAATAAAAACCTTGTGAATAACTCATAGAAATATAATATATTCTGTTTTACCACAAAAACAGCAGTTATAGCTTTTATTCTGATATTTGAACTTGTCTTTAGACCACGTAACCTCCATTGATGTCTATACTCTGTTAAAATCTCTTAAGAGATTTTAACAAAAAACCAAACTTTTTAGAAAAAAACCAGGGACTAACTTTGAATGTAAAAATGGATTCATTAACCATTGGTAAGCATGGGAAAATTGTTGTTTACTCCAGGAAAATTCATTTTTTGGCCGAAACAAAGAGTTATTATTGCTTTAACAGTGTTCACTCTTGACGGTGGGGCTGGCAATAAGGTCCTACAGAGAAAATTAAATTCATAATAATTTTGTCAATTATTCCTTCCTTCACGGCATTTAAGGTTTATTATAAAACCTGGTTATAATTTTTCTATTAAAGCGTTATCTCTTAACGCTGTAATTTTAAAATATTCATCAATAGACACTGAAAATGAATTCCATATTACGTGTATAAGGCACAAAACCCATTTCTGTGTATTGTTTGTTTAAAGTTTCTAGGAAGGAACAAAAATGCTTAAAACTTAACAAAGTGGAATTTGGCAGTGCACACTATTTAAGTATAAAGGAAAAGTACATTTTGTCTTCTTTAATTGAAAATTTGAGATAAAAAATTAATATTATTAGTTTTTTTATGACCAAAGAGCAATTATGAAACAAAGTTTTTGTTTACATTCCTTACATAAGTTTTTAATTAGAAAATTAATTACAATTTAAGGCTTGTAAAGGTAAAAAGGTGGGAGGTTCTGTTTATGGCCTTTTTTCCGTGAGTATATTTTACAAAGAAGATATTCTACAAAACTATATGCCCGCTGCTACGAATGGTTACCAAACACAGTGGTACATTTCCGAAATGCCAATATTTTCTTATTCCTTATTTCCCCAAAATTTGGATAATTGAGAAACCACGACTTGCCACCATATACCAATATAAAAACCTAGGACAGAAATCAAGAAATATGACGTAACTGTATTCTATGGCCTTGACCTTGATCGGTCATGTCACCACTGGGAGTGTCTTGGTCTGGCTATAAAACAGCGGCAGTGTACAGGGAACACAACTCCACACTATCATACTTTGCTCTACAGTAGGAAGAAGAAAGCATCAGCGGCAGAAATATGATTCTTTTTCCAATGACTATCGCACTCATCTCTGTTCTTGGTTCCAGCAATGCCTTCCTTGCTGGCATATTCAAAAAGCCGCTTCCAACCGTGGAGGTAGAAGTAGGGAAATATTTAGGACGTTGGTATCAGGTATACTACTGGATTTAACTAATTCAATATTTGAGATATCATTGATCATATACAAAGTTATTAATACATCGTTTAAAATGGTCATTAAAAAGATTTTGATTTGCAAAATTTTTTTACTGGCCATACCGTCGTTCAGATCTAATATCGGAGGTTAACCATGTAACATGTTACAGAAAAGGATGAAGATAAATATGGCTTTAAGTCAGTGAATAAAATAATTAAGTGAGGTTATAGAAATTGTTGCAGTTGATAAAATAATTCATGAAACATATGCATCGTATCAAAGTGCATATTCATTTAGATATAATATTTCATGATGAAGATGACATATTTTCATTTTTTATACCTGACAATTGCTAAAACATGTTTTAACAGATGTATGGCAACAGAGCAACGTCTTTGTTTGAAAAGGATGCTGTGTGCGTTACCGCTGACTGTAAGTGTAAGCTTTTGTCTTGAAAACTACGACATAGGAAATAAATTGATTATATATAATTTTCTTTTCAACACGAGAAGACCCCATAAGTTTTAAGAACATATATCTGGGGATGGGTACAGAAGTACCACTATGCTTGTGTGCGCTTGCGCATTTGTGTGTGTATCGTTGGACTGCTGACTTTTTAAAAATGTCTTCACAAAAATGGATTAAGGGAGAAATAAATGAAACAGTTGTTTTTTGTCCAAAATACCAATGGTGAGATGCCTAGGTAAATATAAAGTAAAAATTTCTCGGTACTTTTCAAAATCTTACTTTTGATAGATTCTTATCGATCTTTCAATCTTTGTTATACTTTTTATTTTTGTGTCGCATGCAGTAGTAGACACGGTTTCAGTTTCTTTGTAAATATTCACAAAACTTATCAAAGATATGTATCTATAGAAGAGCGGCCTTTGAACGGTTGAATTTTGGGTGGAATATTTTGCCAAAATATGAAACCGTTCTTTAATGTGTATAGTTACCTTTTAAGAAATTTGGTTATGCTTGATGTTTACATTCTCGTCACGTTAAAAAAATGCAAAATTGGGGGTTGATAACCGAAAAACAAAGAGTTATAGCTTTAACTGTCCAATGACTTCATTATGAGATGTAAACCCAGTAGAATAGATGAAAAATAACTTAAACAGTTACACTGGTGCATTTAAAACTTCTGACTTGCGAATTATCTCCCTGCCTTTTGAAAGATACTAGTATTTTATGATAGCTAGATGAAAAATGCGCGTTTTCAAGTTCAAATTATTTTTTCAAGTTCAAATCATTTTTTAAAGCATCAAATTTGGAGTTTGTTCGGCAAAGTTTTAATTTATAAACCTCTTTAGAATATAAATTAATGAAAATCAAAAGCAGCCAATTTTAGTTGCTCAGCAAAGTTTTATTCATAAACCTCTTTAGAATATAAATGAATCTGAATAATTGTAATGGGGTAGTATAAAACAAGGCAGTCATGCATAAAACTGGTTGCACACTGAAAACTTGTCGTCTAAATTAAACTAGTTCATATCTCGCAAATGCATGTTTTCAAGTTCAAATTATTTTTTCTCGCAGTATGAACACAAAAAAGAAATACTACCTTACTTATTCTCAAATGGGTACGTTAGTGATTCATAGGCTTCTTGTATTTTCAAAACATACAGCTCAGTTATTTCCCGACATAAGGCATTTATTAAATTTGAGTTTGTTAAAATGATTGTGAATGTTTCTCCTGTTACAACTCAAATATAGTACAATATTTGCCACATTTTGCCAACTTCACCATCCAGTCCTCATCACCTGTTTCCGCAGCCCCGAAGCGAGGTTAACAATCGCCGTTTTTCAACATGCCCGCTAGACGCATGGCAAACATGTGGCAGTTGTTGCCAAACAGGTTGTAGTCTCCAAACCTCGATTTGTAGGATCGTGTAAACGCTTTGGCGGCTTCAATGCTACAGGTACTCTCCGCTGCTGGCCAAATCTCCCAGCGGACCTCGCAGTGTGGAACGTAAGGTTCATCTCTATAAGAATACCTCTTCTCGCTATTCTCATTACCAACTCCCCACTCGAAGATCAGCCCACGATAGTAAATCAGGCGATGTGCAATGCGTATGGGAGATCGAAATACGAAGCGTTTGGCCCTTATTTTACTGACACAAGCCAAGTCTTGAGTTCCAAACCAGATTCCGCCTGGGTATTCTAAAAAATTGTAATTGATTAGTGTGTGTGTGTAATATTACCAATTAGAAATTATGATAGCAAAGATTAATTAATACACAATGCATGCATTAAAGATGCATACAAAGTCAATTTTTTGTCACAAAAACCAACCAAATGCCAGCATATAGTTTCAAGTAGTATAACTAAGAGAATTACCAAAAGGCATTGTTTAATTTTACCCGAAAATGATGTTTGAACAGATCTTTCTGCTGGCATTCTAAGCTGTATGTCAATGGGGCAGGAAAGTAGGTCACGGAAGTAGGTTAAATTTACAACCATAAATTTAAAGAAAGGAGCAGTCTAATGGTCTTTTACGGCTGATCGAGTGATCTATTCAGTTTATCCCTTGGCATGCCGAATTTATTTGAGTCATACAAGAATCTAGTAGAAGTGGTTGACATGTGTTACTCGGAATCCACACTCCACCGATGCTCGGTTCGTATGTACCTTTAAACTATGCTTGGTAATTGGCAAACAGCGAAACAAAAATGGCAGGCATAGTTTTGGGGGAAGGCAAATAATTTCTGTGATATCGTAGCTATTGGTAACGTTATTATTGGTAATGTGTTGTATGCACGATAGAACAACATTTTACTGAACGTTTGAAGATAACTACTTTTTTCTGTTACGTTTTCCTTCATTTGCAATCTATTTTCAGTAAGAATTAGATGTGGGCACACAAGAAGTTGTAATAAACATATGATAAGCATTAAAATATAAGATTGACTATGACCATCCATTTGTTTGCTGAGAAATTATTTCAAACATTCAGAGATCATGATAATGTTTTAAGTGTACATTTGAGATTGACATGTAACTTTTATTAAAACATATTCATATTGTTCATATTTATTTCCAACCATGGTTGATCGATCGGCAACACCAATTGACTCTAATTAATAAGAAAGCGTTGATAGTCGTTTTACGCTGAAAACTTTGCAAATGGAGTTTCAACAACAGTATTTTTTACCGTCTGTGCAACATCCCAAAGGCACACGTCGAGTCTAAAGTTTAAAACTTACGTTAACAGCAGAATAAGTGAAAGCTAGTGTATATTTCCTTGCTAACCAAAAGGCTCATTTTTAACTACTTTTCACAATGACAATTTTAATCTTGATAAAAATTCTAAGAACTCAATAACATCAGTCAAACACGACGTTTCTGTCCACTACCTATGGGCTTTGGTCACGTGAATGGTGATTTCGCGCCGGTGTAACAGGAATGGAAGTCCGCTAGGAACCATAGTCCGCTTCACATTACTTTGTACAGGTGACATTCGTCCCAATTTCTAACCCCGATACTCCAACTAACCCGCACCTGTACTAATAATATGGGAGCCCGGACTTCCATTGCTAGAACTTCCATTCCTGTTCCACCGGCACTATTTTATTTACCATACCTTGGAAGTTTATTTCATCCCTTCGTCCAGTTGGTATCCACAGTGCATGACTGTACATGACGTTCACGCAGAGTAGGAAAGCAACGACCTACAAAAAGGATTTAAACATAATATACAACTGTTCCGAAAAACTTTTTTTCAGTGTTGTAACTCAGTGATCACTATGGATGCGATTCTCTGAGCATCTTTTGAAATTTCAAGGTAAATGTCAAGGTAATTCATATGAAAATAAGTAAAACGACATAGGGTATTTGTATAAGACTTACGGTACCTGAATGGTATTCCACATTTTTCGTAATCCTATCGTTTAACTTCGATAACTACTTGGGACGCTCGGCGTCTTACTTTATATAGCACCACAAACGAACACGAGAAGGAAGTAGATTTCGCTAAGAGTCCCTCTTTGTTTTCCCTTTGGAACACTTCCATGACTTCAAAGTTCCATTGGCATAGTTCACAATTTGAAGAAAAACATCCTGTTTCCATTGACACACTCCAAATTTGAAGAAAAACATCCCTTTTCCATTGGTACACTTCAAAGTTTAAAGAAAAACATCCCGTTTCCATTGACACACTTCAAAATTTAAAGAAAAACATCCTCAATTTTTATACGTAAGTATGGGAGTACGTACGTGTCGTACGACTAATTAATATCAGCTTCTAGATTTTATCTTATTACTCATGCGCACCCTCCTAATTTGCATTTAATAAAAACAGTAATGTAAAAAAAGATTTACGATTTTTAATGTCAAATTAGCAGAATGAACAAAAGTAAATAAAAGCTATAAAGTCACCAGATGTAAGTGTAGTTTTGTCGAGAGTCTAATTAGGCAAAAATGGAAAATGCCCACGCCACGTGAGGTTATGATTGATACCGGACCTCGTTAACTCTTCAAAGATGGCGCCTTGGAAAATATATTTAACGAATATTCAAAAAATAATTTTCTGGACGAGATTTGAGGGGATGCATGGTCTAAATTCGGATAAATGGTATAAAGTAGGGGTATCTTCACGGGTATTTTATATGTTCTGTACCGTGAATCATGATAAATATGGTATCTGAAATAAGAAACACTATTCAACATGCGAGATGATCATGTGATCATGATAAAACAAAAAAAAAAAAAATGATTGGAGGTGGGTCAACCTTTTTCACCAAGAGTGTATATGTTAAAACAGGTGTCTCAGAGTGTCACTGAAAATTGGGAAGTTAACAGCCAAGTACATTTAAAAAAGTTTGCACCAGTCAGTTTGTATCTGATAAAACCCCCTGGGATTTATGAACAAATGCAAACCAGTTGACATACTGAAGGTATGGAGATATCATAATGAAGAATAAAGACAAATTGGAGCTTTCTAACGTTTATTCATCGACCCTCTGTTCATACAATTTTGCAAGTATTTTAAGTATATTCCTCTGTACTGGTCATGCATTTACTTGTTTACTTTCCATTGTTGCAAACCTCCGTTCAACATTTCCTCATAAGGTAATTTCTAAGAGACTTGTTTTCAATTTAAAATATCTAAAATATTATTTGAATAACTCATGCTTGAACCTTACTCATCCTAAGCTTGCATGTGTTTTACACGTGTAAGAAACTTGTAAATCTATTGAGAAATAAACCAATCACATACACTGTTACTGACTTTGACCTTTTCCATCTTTTTCTGACACTAAAACATGTTCTACACTTGTTGACTCTTGCTGAAACTTAACTTACTCTCAACAACTCCCTATGATTTTGCACATTTGATTCCGTTTTAATTAGTATCTGCAATTAGTAAAAGTATAAGTAATTTGCTTTACAACAGAGAGTTCAGTTAAACTGTCAAAACGTTCTCACCTCCAGATGGCGCTGTCAGTAATACCACGGTCAGTGTGTTTAATGCCCAGAGAACCAAGACGCCTACAGGAGAGGCTCACACCATCCGAGGATTTGCTTACACCACGGAGGAGCCGGGGAAACTGGCAGTGAAACTGGACGGAGTACCTGTGAAAGCTCCATGTAAGTATCCTTTAGTACCGGGTAATCCTGCCCTCGACCAGGGTTTTGGAACAATTTTTCTCTAGATTTTTACAGATATTTCTATAGCTATTGAGTGAGAATGTGTTGGAGGCCGGGAGGGGGCACCTCCCTTTTTTCTTTGATAGAGAGTAAGATAAGGGAGTAATGAGAACTTTTAGGATGAATAGGCCCTACATTATACACTATGTTATTCTATCATGTTATACATTACCCATAATTCCCTACGGGATACCTTCAGCATAAATCTTTATTATTTATTTTTTTATTCAATATTAACCAGTTATATATATAGTAATCTGATAGCAACTTCAAATAACGGGATAATATAAAAGAATGCTAAATTCCTCTGCAGTTCAGTAAATATTTCCTTAGTCAGTGTATAACAGGTCTAACCAACTACCAGACTCGGCACCTAAGGATCCTGAATTAACCGATATATCGGACCACACTACCCGTTTTCAAGGTGTGTGTCAGATCGCATTTCGGAGTATCATACTCCAGAACAAATTTTGTAGGACGACTGCGGGCTCATTCACGCTCGGCTGAACAACCTTAAACTGTACTCTTACTTTAGAGTACTCTATTTCATTGTCTCTATGGGGGTATATGGGGACTTTACGACATTCGGTTTGAATGTTTTAACCACTTTTGATAGGGCTTTTTTGCATTGTATTAGATTAATGTGGCAGTCTAAGGTTCATCTAGGTGGCTTTCAAATTTATGCACCCGGTTTTAAAATCATATAGCGATTAAATACGACAATCGTTTACTATCCAATCAAGGTGACAGCCGAGCGTGGGCTCATCCTGTCGGTGTTCTGACTGATACTCCGAAATGCGATCTGACACACACCTTGAAAACGGGTAGTGTGGTCCGATAAACCGGTTAATTCAGGATCCTTAGGTGCCGAGTCTGGTAGTTGGTTAGGCCTGTATAAGACAGGAATGTTTTTAATAGATATAAACGAAGTATTGCATAACTTTTTGAGCCCGCTGTAATGTCCTTTTTCAGATTGGATTATTAAGCTGGGTCCCCAGACGTTTTCTACCAATGGTCAGTACGAGTATGCAGTGGTCACAGATAACTTCCGGGTCACGCTGTTCGTGTTGGCGCGCGATCCGGAAGGTTTCAAGCTGAAGTACGATCAGGAGGTCAAGCAATTTGTGAAAGATGCTGGATTTACGGAATGGTTAAACGAACCGTTGGAGACATACCAAGGAAATGACTGCCTCTATGCACAGCCTCCACAGTGAAATATTCTGTTCCTTTTGTGGTTTCAGTTGTATATGAAGACTTTTGTGAGGTAGAGTAATATGAAGGACAATGTTTTCAGTGACTGTTACTTAATATCAGCCACGAAATGAAAGATGAGGCATTGTACAATTCTATTTTGTATTCTTGTGATTCTAAAGCATCCATTTTTATATTCAATATAATAAAATAAATACAAAAAAAAAAAAAAAAAAAACTCACTGTGGTTTAAATGTTCTATAAATTAAGGTAAAAAAAAACGTTTCTTTTCTATTAAAATGGAAATATTTTAAACAATTTCCTATATTTCTGATACCACTTGTTTCCATAGAATAAATCTTACCAAAGTCTATCTAGCACTGACGACACGTAGCACCCACGGCTTAATTAAAGCTTTTATCGTTGTATTTGGTACTACGTTCAAGGTTACCCGCAGGTTTATTTAAATAAACTCTTTGTGTTTCTTTTCACATTGCTATTTTAATCTGACCCGGAAAAATTGTACTTCTCCCACACTACTTGAGAAGGCTGAGGAGCCAGGAGTAGAACTGAAGTACTGTATAAAGGACACGGTGAAGGAGAATAACTATCGGTGACAAAAAACGTTCTGGCTACTTAAGACCCAATATATCCCCAATTCATTCAAATAAACTAGCTATAGATGTAAATTTAATAGGATGTATTAATCAACCCAGTCAATACCAGTATTTGTTTTTTACTTTGTATTAAAAAAAATTTATATGGCAATTGATATTTTGAATAATTTTCTTTTCAACACGAGAAGACTCCATAAGTTTTAAGAACATATTTCTGGGGATGGATACAGTAGCGCCACTATTTTTGTGTGCGCTCGCGCATTTGTGTGTATATCGTTTGACTGCTGACTTTTTAAATTGTCGCAACAAAAATGGATTTAGGGAGAAATAAATGAAACAGATATTTTTCGTGCAAAATACCTATGGTGAGATGTCTAGGTAAACATAAAATACAATTTTCTCGGTACTTTCCAAAATCTTACATTTGATAGGTTCTTATCGATCTTTCAATCTTTATTATACTTTTTATTTTTGTGTCGCATGCAGTAGCAGTAGTAGACACGGTTTCAGTTTCTTTGTAAATATCTGCAAAACTTATCAAAGATATGTATCTATAGAAGTACGACCTTTGAACGGTTGAATTTTGGGTGGAATATTTTGCCAAAATATGAAACCGTTCTTTAATGTGTGCAGTTACCTTTTTAAGAAATTTGGTTATGCTTGATGTTTACATTCTGGTCACGTTAAAAAAAATGAAAAATAGGGGGTTGATAACCGAAAAACAAAGAATTATAGCTTTAACTGTCCAATGACTTCATTATGAGATGTAAATCCAGTAGAATAGATGAAAAATAACTAAAACAGTTACACTGGTGCATTTAAAACTTGTGACTTGCGAATTATCTCCCTGCCTTTTGAAAGATACTAGTATTTTATGATTGCTCGATAAAAAATGATTGTACTCGACAAAGGAGGATTTTATCTCCAGCATTCATGTGTCATGCCAAAGTGCTTAAGTATGCCGAAATGGTGATCAACAAAAATCAAAAACAGCAAATTTTGGGTTTGTTCGGCAAAGTTTTTATTTATAAACCTCTTTAGAATATATATGATTAACAAAAATCAAAAGCAGGTAACTCTAGTTGTTCAGCAAAGTTTTATTCATAAACCTCTTTAGAATATAAATGAATCTGAATAATTGTAATGGGGTAGTATAAAACAAGGCGGTCATTCATAAAACTGGTTGCACGCTGAAAACTTGTCGTCTAAATTATACTAGTTCATATCTCGCAAATGCGTGTTTTCAAGTTCAAATTATTTTTTCTCGCAGTATGAACAAAAAAAAAAAAAAAAAAAAAAAAAAAAAAAAAAAAAAAAAAAAAAAAAAAAAAAAAAAAAAAAAAAAAAAAAAAAAAAAAAAAAAAAAAAAAAAAAAAAAAAAAAAAAAAAAAAAAAAAAAAAAAAAAAAAAAAAAAAAAAAAAAAAAAAAAAAAAAAAAAAAAAAAAAAAAAAAAAAAAAAAAAAAAAAAAAAAAAAAAAAAAAAAAAAAAAAAAAAAAAAAAAAAAAAAAAAAAAAAAAAAAAAAAAAAAAAAAAAAAAAAAAAAAAAAAAAAAAAAAAAAAAAAAAAAAAAAAAAAAAAAAAAAAAAAAAAAAAAAAAAAAAAAAAAAAAAAAAAAAAAAAAAAAAAAAAAAAAAAAAAAAAAAAAAAAAAAAAAAAAAAAAAAAAAAAAAAAAAAAAAAAAAAAAAAAAAAAAAAAAAAAAAAAAAAAAAAAAAAAAAAAAAAAAAAAAAAAAAAAAAAAAAAAAAAAAAAAAAAAAAAAAAAAAAAAAAAAAAAAAAAAAAAAAAAAAAAAAAAAAAAAAAAAAAAAAAAAAAAAAAAAAAAAAAAAAAAAAAAAAAAAAAAAAAAAAAAAAAAAAAAAAAAAAAAAAAAAAAAAAAAAAAAAAAAAAAAAAAAAAAAAAAAAAAAAAAAAAAAAAAAAAAAAAAAAAAAAAAAAAAAAAAAAAAAAAAAAAAAAAAAAAAAAAAAAAAAAAAAAAAAAAAAAAAAAAAAAAAAAAAAAAAAAAAAAAAAAAAAAAAAAAAAAAAAAAAAAAAAAAAAAAAAAAAAAAAAAAAAAAAAAAAAAAAAAAAAAAATACTACATTACTTATTCTCAAACGGGTTCGTTAGTGATTCATAGGCTTCTTGTATTTTCAAAACATACAGCTTTGTTATTTCTCGACATCAGGCACTTATTAATTTGAGTTTGTTAAAATGATTGTGAATGTTTCTCCGGTTACAACTCAAATATAGTACAATATTTGCCATATTTTGCCAACTTCACCATTCAATCCTCATCATCTGTTTCCGCAGCCCCGAAGCGAGGTTAACAATCGCCGTTTTGCAACATGCCCGCTAGACGGTTGGCAAACGTATGGCAGTTGTTGAATAAAAAGCGGTACCTTCCAAATCTCGATTTGTAGGATCGTGTAAACTCTTTGGCGGCTTCAATACCACAGGTACTCGTCGCTGCTGGCCGAGCCTCCCAGCGGACTTCACAGTGTGGAACGGCAGGGGACGTGCCAATAGAATACCCTATCTCGCCGTTCTCATCACGAACTCCCCACTCGAAGATTAGCCCACGATAGTATATCAGGCGATGTGCAATGCGTAAAGGAAATCGAGATACAGAGCGTTTGTTCTTCTTTCCCATGACACAAGCCATTTTTCTGAGTTCCAAACCAGAATCCGGCTGGGTGTTCTAAAAAAAAAAAAAATCCCCGTGTAATTGATTAGTGTGTGTGTAATATTACCAAATTAAAATTATGATAGCAAAGATAAATTAATACACGATGCATGGATTAAACTATGTTTGGTAATGGGCAAACAGCGAAACAAATGTGGCATAGTTTTTGGGGAAGGCAAGTAATTTCTGTGATATCGTAGCTATTGGTAACGTTATTATTGGTAACGTATTGTATGCACGATAGAACAACTTTTTACTGACGTTTGTAGATAACTACTTTTTCCGTTACGTTTCTCTTCATTTGCAATCTATTTTCAGTATGAATTAGATGTAGGCGCACAAGAAGTTGTAATAAACATTTAATAATCATTTTAAAAATATATCAGTAATGTATGTATCGAAGGAAATCAAACTTCGTAATTCTGTGATTCATATGATCACTGCAGAAATATTGATTACACATATATTTCGCAGTTCATATTTGATCCAAGTTTTCAAAGATTAACTATGACCATCCATTTGTTTGCTGAGAAATTATTTCAAACATTCAGAGATCATGATAATGTTTTAAGTGTACATTTGAGATAGACACTTTTATTAAAACATATTCAGATAGTTCATATTTATTTCCGACCATGGTTGATCGATCGGCATCTTCAATTGACTCTAATTAATAAGAAAGCGTTGATAGTCGTTTTACGCTGAAAACTTTGCAAATGGAGTTTCAACAACGGTATTTTTACCGTCTGTGCAACATCCCAATGGCACACGTCGAGCCTAAAGTTTAAAACTTACGTTAACAGCAGAATAAGTGAAAGCTAGTGTATATTTCCTTGCTAACCAAAAGGCTCGTTTTTACCTACTTTTCACAATGAGAATTTTAATCTTGATAAAAACTCTAAGAACTAAACAACATCAGTCAAACACGACGTTTCTGACCACCACCTATGGGCTTTGCATGGTCACGTGAATGGTGATTTCGCGCCGGAATTCAATGCTCAGGAAACGGGACATTGTTCAGTCTCTTTAGTAAGGATAATTGTATTTTATCATCGTATCTGGATACCACGAAAAAACTTCTTTCATGTATTTAAACCTTCCTCTTATTTTGTACTTTAAATAACGCGTATAATCGATTTAACATTTTAAACTTTGAGTAAATACCATCGTTATTATTATCTTTATTATTATTATTTATGTTTGCATTTTATACTGATCGACAAAATTGTGACACTCTCAGTTTACATGCATTTCTTGGTTGGCAAGGAAATACAAACTGACCAATACATATAATAGGATATGTGTAACAGGATATGGAAGTCCTAGGAATGGAAGTCCGGGCTCCCGTATGATAAGTGCAGGTTAGGGTTAGTTGGAGTATTTGGGTTAGTAAATGGGGGGAATGTCACCTGTACAAAGTAATGGGAAGCGGACTACGAATCCTAGCGGACTTCCATCCCTGTTAAACAGGCATTTTTATTTACCATACCTTGGAAGATTACTTCATCCGTTCGTCTAGTAGTTGGTATTACTTCATCCGTTCGTCTAGTAGTAGGTGGTGCCGACAGTACAAAACTGTAAATGACATTCACGCAGAGTAGGAATACAACGACCTACAAAAAGGATTTCATTTAAGCATAATATAAAACTCCAAGAATCCAAATTCATTATTTTTTCCATTTCTAAGAAATCGTGAGTGAAATCGAAAATAAATAAATAAATAAATAAAAACTAAGAGAATGGGTATTTATACCTGTGGGATCAGAACACGTTACAATGTTCCGAGTGTTCTAACTCAGTGATCACAATGGACGTGATTAATTATCTGAGCATCTTTTGACATTTCAAGTTAATTCATATGAAAATGAGTAAAACGACATAGGCTATTTGTATTAGACTTACGATACCTGAATGGTATTCCACATTTTTCGTAGTCCTATCGTTTAACTTTGAAAACTACTTGGGACGCTCGGCGTCTTACTTTATACAGCACCACAAACGAACACAAGAGGGGAGTAGATTTAGCTGAGAGTTCCTCTTCGTTTTCCCTTTGGAACATTTCCATGACTTCAAAGTTCCATTGACATAGTTCACAATTTGAAGAAAAACATCCTGTTTTCATTGGCACACTTCAAAATTTGGAGAATAACATCCTTTTTTCATTGGCACACTTCAAAATGTAAAGAAAAACATCCTCGATTTTTATACGTAAGTATTGGCGTAAGTACGTGTCATACGACTAATTAATATCAGCTTCTAGATTTTATCTCATTACTAATGTTCACCCTCCTAATTTGCTATTAATAAGAACAGTAATGTAAAAAAAGGTTTACGATTTTTAATGTCAAATTAGCAGGATGAACAAAAGTAAATAAAAGCTATAAAGTCACCGGATGTAAGTGAAGTTTTGTCTAGAGTCTAATTAGGCAAAATGGAAAATGCCCACGTGAGGCTAGGATTGATATTTCAATTTCACGATCAAAGATAATTTCCCATGATGTTGCCACGCCTGCAAACTGGACCTCGTTAACTTTTCAAATTTGACGCCCTGGAAAATATATTTACCGAATATGTAATTTCAGACTGATTAAAGAGACTGCACAATAAGGAAAGGTTGTGTGCGTGCGTGATCGTCAAAATCAGCATTGAAGATTTTTAGATCACACAAAAGATGCCGGAAAAATAATAAATGTAAAATTTAAAACATAAATCTCACTCCATTTACAAGAGGTGACTCTGGGTAACTACAGGCTTCACCTCGAGAACAAATTTGCTCACATTTCTCGTCTGGTGAGTGATTTGTTGCAGAAACACAATGTTCTGAGTATGGGAGGATGGATCAACCTTCTTCGAGCCCTGATACTAACTTAACTGAGCAGCTGCTTCCCGAATTGGAGTAACATGTAGCAATGCAGTGGAACTTCAGCCCCCTTACAATCTGGACCAATTCCAAAAAGCTTTTCTGGACGAATGATGTAATTTTCCACAAAACAGAATTCTTGCCCTAGTTGAAGGTAGTACGGTGGACACTCACGCTATTAGACAGGTGGCCTTTAACGAGCACATGCTCGTGCTAATTGTGTGTAAATTTGGTGTCATTTGGTGCTACTGTTTTAATTTTATGGACTGTGAGATTCACTGTAGAACATCAGATTTCCGAGATTTGAGGGGATGCATGTTCTAAATTCGGAAAATGGTATAAATTAGGGGTATCTTCACGGGTATTTTTAATGTTCTGTACCGTGAGTCATGATAAATATGATATCTGAAATAAGAAACACTCTATGGTGTCTGAAATAAGAAGCACTGATGCGAGGTGATCATATGATCATAATAAAAAAGAAAAAAAAAAAGAATTGGAGGTGGGGCAACCTTTTTCACCAACAGGTGTCTCAGAGTGCCAATGCAAATTGGGAAGTTAACAGCCAAGTACATTTAAAAACTAGAAAAGCACTCCAAGAGCTCAGACCTCCGCCAAGGCAGCAAAGTCTCCACCCAATGCCGTTTCACCCTTAAATTCTCATTCTATAATGATTTAGTTTTTTTATTTTTGATTATTGATTATTGATTGATTACTGATCCGGATCACCACCAAAAACTAATCATCTGTTCCTTGACCCACTTGTGACAGTTCCAGAAAATGTCATCAAAATCGGTCCATAACTTAGTTTTTTATTTTTGATTATTGATTGATTATTGATTCTGATCAGCACCAAAAACTAATCACCTGTTCCTTAGCCCACTGAAAATTTCATATATATTTCATACTATATATATATATATATATATATATATATATATATATATATTAATCTGAAAGCAACCGCAAATTACGGATAATATAATAGAATGCTAAATTCCTCTGCAGTTCAGTAAACATTTGCTTTAAGTCTGTGTATAAGGCAGAGATGATTTTAATGGATACAGCCTAAACGAAGTATTGCGTAACTTTTTGAGCCCGTCGTAATTTTTTTTCGTCAGATTGGATTATTAAGCTGGGTCCCCAAACGTTTTCTACCATGGCCAGTACGAGTATGCAATGGTCACAGATAACTTCCGGGTCACCCTGTTTGTGTTGACACGGGATCTGGAAGCCTTCAAGCTGAAGTACGATCAGAAGGTCAAGCAATTTGTGAAAGATGCCGGATTTACGGAATGGTTAAATGAACCGTTGATCACATACCAAGGAAAAGACTGCCTCTATGCACAGCCTCCACAGTGAAATATTCTGTTCCTTTTGTGGATTCAGTTGTATATGCAGACTTTTGTGAGGTAGAGTAATATGAAGGACAATGTTTTCAGTGACTGTTACTTAATAACAGCCATGAAATGAAAGATGCACGGGGAGGCATTGTTCCATTCTATGTAGTATCCTCGTGTTTCTAAAGCATCCTTTTTTATATTCAATATAACAAAAATAACACATAAAAATGTCACTGTCACGGTTTAATTAAGACTTTTATCGTTCTATATTTGGAAGATATCCGCAGGTTTATTTAAATAAACTCTTTGCCTTTCTTTTCACATTGCTATTCTAATCTGACCCGGGAAGAGTGTTCTGCTCCAACACTACTTGAGAAGGCTGAGGAGCCAGAAGTAGAATTTGAGTACTGTATGAAGGAGTCTTAATGTGTTTATTTTTGCCAAGAGCCTGGTTCATAGACCCTTACGATGGCATGAAGTTTATTACCTCAAGGGGAAAATAACCAAATTTGGCAACTCACTTTGTACTGATTCTCTTATTATATTTGGAAAGCTGTTTAAATCTTGTTATGCTTTGATTTCGTTTTTCCTTTCATTCGACATCAAATTGAATTGGATAAAATGTGTTTTGTTTGTGATTAGAAATCAAAAGAAATGATTTTTCGGACAAACACATATTTATAGATTAAACACTTTTTTCATCATAGATTTACTTCGTCTAGAATAAATATTACAGAATAAACTTTTGGTTTTATAATTAAAGACAAATATAAAACCTAAAAGAACAAACTAATTGCTCCAAGTGAATCATTATTTGCTTTTACATCGAAAATGATCATGCAGATATATAAGATATTCCAAGTTTCACAAAGCGTGATAAGAACATTGTTATCATCTACATCGCCACAGATCGAAAGTCAACACTGGAAAACGCTTACAGCAATGTAGTGAAATACAGAAAATGAAAATATAAAAATACTGGCCTTGCGTATGTTCTGTGCAACTAAAACTGTCTCATTTAGTGGACTATGGACTATCGTGTCCTTAATGATTTCTGTTTTTATTTTTCGAGCACTTAGGTAGAAAAACTGATAAATCATTATTTGAAGAAAAGAACTTCAATGTAAATGTCCTAGTTGATATCAATCATTATTTTTCATACCGAGACTGTCATTTTGACATAATTAACTTAATTTAAAAAATCACTTTAATTAATTTCCATTCCCTTACTTGCCTACTTAGTATAGTAACACAAGTGTCAATATATTTCAACATATATCAATATAATTTGATGTAAATTGATATATGTTGTAAAGGCGTCAAATCTTGAGCACAGATTTCTCAAATATCAGCACCTCAGATGTCGATGTTTTAGTCTGCTTAGTTTTCCAATTCCCTCTGGATAGCCTGCAATAGCAGCTGGGAGAGCGATGTAGCCGAATTAGGGGCATCTGGAAATAATTTGACTGTGGTAAAAAGTGACTTGATTATAAAAAATAATTAGAATATAATTCGCCACTTTACAGTGAAATCATTTCAACTGATAATAATGATAAACAGGGGCCCAACAAATAATTACAAACTGGACAAATATATAACGAAAGTGTTTTTTATTCTTACCATCCACATCAAGAAGTACGCATGCGTCCTGACATTCCTTGACCCCAGGTCTGGTTAAAATATCCAACAAGGTGGACTTGAAAATTGCCCGTTGTTTCAGTTTTTCCTCCTTTGACAGGTCAGCCAGTGTGTCTTCTTCCATCTCAAACAGCGTGAGAAGGGGTGTGGCATATTCCGCCACACAGTAGTAATCCTACGAGCAGACCAGATAAAGGGAATGCTTTAATTCATGACAACTACTCATTTCCATTTCAATAAATTTAACAAGCCGTGAAGTGAGAGAGAGAGAAAGACAGTGTGTGTGTGTGAGAGAGAGAGAGAGAGAGGGGGGGATAGAGAGAGAGAGAGAGACAGTGTGTGTGTGTGTGTGTGAGAGAGAGAGAGAGAGAGGGATAGAGAGAGAGAGACATGATCACATACCTGCCCATCTTCCGAGGTCACTTTATAGACAAAATTTCTGTACACTCTCTGCGGATTTCCTGACCGGTTGGCCTTGAACTCGCGAAGGTGCGCCCCGGGTTGGACAGCGGAGTCCCCGTCTGTGAGGGTGGGGTGCGCAAAACACGAGGTGGGCAGCAGGATGAACAGTTTGGGGGCGATGCGTTGGTTGCTAGCGTCCCAAAAAGTTGACGTCTTTACTCTGTCAGCTAGACCTGAGGACGGGTGAAAGAATATTTTTGTTATTTTTTAAAGAAATCTGATATCCAGTTACTGATTAAAAAATCAATTTTGTTCAAATTGACTTCTTGGAACTGTCCACATCTTACCTGTAAAGTGGTAATAATTTAAATATTTGTGTCGTTAACTGTTTCTAGTCCTGAATAGTACCTATTTATTTCGACGATTTGTACTTCAATCATAATATTTCTCTGTTACCACTTACCGGACCACTTACCGGGGAAAATTAGTTTCAGATAGCCGTAGTAATAAGACCACTTACCGGGTAAAATCAGTTTCAGATAGCCGTAGTAATAAGACCACTTACCGGGTAAAATTAGTTTCAGATAGCCGTAGTAATAAGACCACTTACCGGGTAAAATCAGTTTCAGATAGCCGTAGTAATAAGACCACTTACCGGGTAAAATCAGTTTCAGATAGCCGTAGTAATAAGACCAGGCCAGGCCGTAGCCCATACTGTTCTTTATCTCGGAGGCTGCTGCGGTCATCGTGAACTGAAATTAATAGATATCGTGAGTTATTCTAAATCATTCAAATATGAGGACAAAAACAAATAAACCATCAAAATAAATTAATTTAAACATTGAAAAAAGGCAGCTTAGCGCTGACACATTTCACGAGAAATAATAATAATAATAATGATAAGAATAATAATAATAAAATATGATTGACGGCTTATAAAAAATTGGAATTGAAAAGGGGTGACTTTAAGAAAACAGGATAAACTATCAAGTTAAAAGATTTGTTCGAACAATACCCTCACCTTAGGCTATATATTACATGTTATGTTGCTCCTTAGATGTATACAGTGTAGGGACATGAAACTCAATCTCATTATCCAGATCAAAATGAATGTAAAAGTATCAAGCCCCTATTACAACTGTCATTTTTTGGAAGGCACTGTACCTGAATACATGTTCTTACCTTATTAAATAGAGCTGCCTGTATTATTGGTTGTTCTCTTCGTCCGGATTTATCTGTACTCCTGTTCACAATGTGGAAATATGGCTTGTTTTGTCCATTTTATACGACAAGGTGATAATCTATCACCAACCCTATTTGCCTTATACATTAATGACTTAGCGCAAGAGATAAAACGGATCTCGAAAGGTGTTGAAGTAGGAAAAACTTTATAGATATATTATTATATGCAGATTATGTGGTATTTATTGCTCCTACTGAGGAAAACTTGCAAGCTATGCTTGATAAGCTAAGTGAGTGGTCTTATAAATGGAGTTTATTTGTTAACCAAAAGAAAACAAAAATCGTACATTTTAGAAAACCAGGTGTTGAAAGGAGTAACTTTCAGTTTAATTGCGGTGGAGTGCCACTTGATTATGAAAAGTCTTATAAATATCTTGGAGTTACCTTAGCAGAGACACTTAATTATAGTACAAATGCAGACAACCATTCTTGCCCCGCCCCCATAGTAACGGTGCTTGACAACGGAGGCGGCGGCCTAAAGCCTGCCACCCGTACCAGTCAGGACAGGTAGAAAAACTCTTCCAAATGTATATTTTTAGTCCGTGTTTCACAAATATAACTTAATTGAGTATTATATACAATATTGTTTATTTCTAACGTATAAAAAACTAAAAATCGAGTTTTAGACATATTTGTAATATCCTAGAGTTAAAACTCCGAAAGCTGATATTGTTTTAAACACCTACATTTACCTGAGATAATCAAAAGCCGTCAATTAAAATAAAATAGTGTGCTTGTCGTATAAAAAGACCAATCTAATGTTTTACTCAAATATTAGTTTTGGTTACACGTATTGGGCTAAGAATTAAACTAAGCCATGTTTTGCACGTTTTAAAGCTAATACCAAATTTCGGTCTTTATTTTTTGTGCGTGAAGCACGCTACTGGCGCCTGTAATGTGACTGTTTGTGAAGTAGCATTATTGTGTGTGAAATAAACCAGAGTCACGCTAGGGGGCATGCATTCAAAACGTCTAACCTGAAGTAACGTGTTAAAAAGGTATATCGTGCCTAAATATTACCAGATTGTTCAAAGTCACATGGAAACCATTTCAACTCTCTGCTCTGTGTCCTTGCTGAGGCGATGTAAGAAGTACACCACATTTTAGGCCAACTTTGGCTAGGGTTCAGTCACAACGAGAAAAATGACTCGAAAACATAATACTGCAAACGACGTATTAATAGTAAATCAAGGTAATGGCTGCACCCTGGGAGGTTGATGAATATTAAGCACACTTACACAGGGAACATTGGAACACAGAGAAAGTTCAACTAAAACGAGCAGAAAGTTGGTACGTCTGCAGAGGGAAAGCCCGGCTTTGCAGCCGAAATTATCAGCGAAAGGTAAGTCATCGGCTTGTTACTCATTGTCACTGATCCATGCTGTACAGGAGTCACCGCATTGAGGCTTTTGGTGGGTGGGGGAACACAATGGACGGGTAAAAAACCCAGAGTCACAGTTAATTGGCGACTTTTACACAATGTCATTACTCCATTAGCTTCCTGTCGTCATATACCCTAAAATAAAAGTTACCAGTATTATCAGAGCATCCGTTTATTTTTGTCTAACAACTTGGGTCTCCTGTACATGCATATTTTATGCTTTTTTCAGTTATAAAAAACTAAAGATAACAATATCATGTTGATAAATTCTGTAAGTACCCAGAAATATGATTAATCTCAAGCCAATATGTATCTTATACACGATTCCTCCACACGATCTATAACTTGATAGAGATGCCCTGCTAAAACAAAATATCTTATTTTTGTTATCAGATTCCATTGATTGCATTGCATTAGACAAGAAACACCTGACAGTATTTATTAATATCTATTATAAATGTGCCAGTATTAATTATCCATCAGAGAAGACGTTTCAACTAATGATTTGATAGCCTGTATAGTAAATGACAACCGCGTCTTGGCTCGTGGCGACCTCTGGCGCCTTAAGTCAATAACGACTGTCTAATCTGGACGACCTTTTGACGCAATCCACTTAACTCTAAGGTAAACTCTTATCGAAACCTTTTTAAAGAAACGTTTGCCCACTTTCAACTTCTAATCTTATACGCTGTTGCCTTGACTGTAACATAGTGTGATGTTGTCGTCCTATTTACTGATGTCATGCTCTAATTTATCACCGCGTGGAATATGTTGTTGGCAACCCAGTGTCAGCCGGCAGCTACGAGGAGAAAATACATATGAATTAAATTGGATCTGTGGGCAGAAGATAATGGATATTCTAACATATGGGGGATAGCGTAAGATGACAAGGTGAAGATTAGTAATTCGGCTCGTAAGTATGGAATCAGGAATGATTTACGTACACGGAATTATTGATAAATATATAATGGTTTAATCTTTTTAATTATCAGATAAATTATATTTGGATCGTAACTCTTGCTATTTCATAAGTTAGCTTATCTCATATGATTGCTGGATGTTTATTGAGCTATAGAGACGTCTGCTGAAGCAGTTGATGCACATACAGCATAACGAGTGAAGGAAATGTAAATAGAACTCACCGATGTTTTTTTCATTTTATATAAGATATCCCTTTTTAATGCCATAGCATTTCTTCTCATGGTGTTGCTTGTCAACCTCAGTGGGACATTGACATATGTTTTATAGTCTTTGAGAAATACAGATTCAAGTGCTTAATTGGAAATCACAGAAACGGCAGAAAAACCGACTTATTGACTTATGAAAATTGATTCATGTAAGGTTATAACTTTCTGCACATTTAAAAAACTATATCGTATTTTCCATTTATCGATTTCGATCTAACGAAAAAGGTATCTTTCTTGTACCAAAAGTATAGAGATAGATTCTTTGAACGCTAATATTTATGAACAAGCCTCATCTTAATTGGAGACGTTCCACAGCTGTGTTGCAATAAATGTGTTGGATAGTTCAGTTTTGTTGCCTTAACCCTTTCAAATAACACATTAATATTCTACTTTTGTGTATAAATCTTCCTCAGTACTTGTTGCTAGAGCAACCCAAGATGCCAAATGTGCCTAAATCATTACAATTTCAGTCAAGAATGATGAATGGTTCCTTTTTGTTTTCCCAATAAATGAATTAATTCCGATAACGCGTTTTATTAACCTTCTAATTCACCCGGTTTGCTTAGGTAATCGAAAGTTCAGATATGTCGCTCTTTCAGCGGTTTATCAGAGCTGGCGTTGTGGTGTGTGTTATACGGTATTGATCCCGGTAAACTATAGCAATCTTAGGGCTAACACGACAGCTGACCGCCACCCGTGTGTCCGAACCACATTCTCTAGACTATTATAAGGGCAGCGTTGGACAGGGAGGCTAAATCAACACGGTCTCCCAGCTGACTGTATCAAAGGTGTCGTGAGTGTCAATAGTACGGTGACACGGTGACACTGTCAATTATTGAATTAAGTCACCCGATGTTGTAGAATCGATCATTTTTGACGTAAAACAGAATACATACACTATGTCCGCGAGGTATCTGAAACCAACTGATAACGTTATTAGAAATAGCAGTCTGACAGACGCTACAGGGGAGAGGACAAGGTAGGTTGAAAGTAATACACTGTTAAAGTGGAGCTGGAGTTTCTTTTTTTTTTTTATTAAATTTTGTACAGCGCGTTAGTTCTACTGTTGGCGTAACCGTAAACTCAGCTCATTCTATTGTATGTATGTATGTATAATAAGTGATTTATTCGGCAAAAATGAAAGACAGACGTACATAGAGCATTATGGCCCGACGTTTAATTGACTGGGAAAATTAAAGAACAAAAGAGAAAGGATAGCGTCAAAAAAATGGCTGGAAGTTGGGAAAGAAAAATTGGTAGCAAGCAACTGGCAAATAAAAGGGGAGCCTTACACTACAAACATAGAGTGCTGGCGGCAGAGATGGGAGGGTTGTCTGACGCTCAACAAACAGAGATAAAATGTGAAGTTGTAAACTGCAAATATTAAGGGCAGAATACTGAGGATTGGATTTTGAGGACTAAATAATGGGGACTGAATATCTCAACTTTTTTCTGTAACTGACTAAAACATCTATAGGGTCGGGAAAGAAAAGGACAAAATGATATAAGCGCTTGAAGAGAAAATTGAATTTTGATTGAAATAGAATATTTATAATTTGACGTATTTTCAATGGTAGAAATATACGTCGTTTGTTTAAGTGACACCTTTGAAATGTCCACTTCATTTATTGGAGATATATCTTTACGACACAGCGACAGTATTTGAAAAGTGGATTTTTTGATATAATTATTATATATTATTTTGTGTCATAAATTCTGAATTTAAAGATGCCTGTTGAAAAAAAATGCTTTAAAAAGCGACACAGATTAAGTGCAGCATTACATTTTTAATGGGCTTTTCATTCTGTTGTTTCATTTAATTTGTTTTGGTTTTTTATCGTCTCATGTCTCAGTTGCTGTAATAACTTCAGCTGTCCACACGTGCGAGTACTTAACGCCGTGCAAACTGTAAGAACGTAATAAATCGTCACTCGCCCATAGCAACATTTTCCTGCTTGTTTTGGTTTCTGTCGATGGTATTTGCACACTTAACATCCTCAGGCTGTTCTGTCGTGCTTTAAAATTTCAGCCAAAACCGATATTTTTTTTGGTATTCTCATGTTCTTGTTTATTCAATCTACCGTTCAAGGAGTATGTAGATGTCGCTAAAGAGGGTACCTGTACGAGGTAGGTTAATAGCATCACTATAGCAGTTTAAAAATTTTAGGATATTTGGTTACGGAGAGACAAAGAACGAGACTATTCTTCATCAAGGGAAAGCTTCTTCTTGGATATTACAGCTGTTCTCGAACACGAGCCCCCCCCCCTCCCCCCCAACCTGTTCGTCTGCCCGCATCTAACATCGGTTGCTGAGATCAATTTTTATTTTGACATTTTGCAAACAAAGGATCAGGTGGCAAATCAATTGTGCCAGAGTGTGTAAGATTGATCAATTGGATCCTATTAGTCTGTGGATTGGCTATTGGAATTTTGTTGTCACGAGTAATTTACCTGCCTTTGATAGCCATTTAAACATTTCTTTAGATCACATAAGAGCGTTCCACTCTAGTTGTTTTCCAATATTCGTAAAAGGGGAACAGAAGCAAGAGGTAAATCACGAACTGTATTGTCAAGTCCTCTAGTTATTCAATATGACATTAACTATTGCAGTGCCCGTAAATTAGAAGCGAGAATATGGTACATGTACAATGTACAACTGACAGTTAGAAGTCGTTTAAGTTCCGTTTTTATTGTTTTTTGATGCATGTTTTGCAGAATAAGAATTTACTACAGGGATCTTTATTTAAATAATTGTTTAATTGAAAGTTTGCTGTTTCCAATGTAAAGTACTGGATAAAAGTAAAGGATGTTTTTTTTTCTGAATAAAAAAAAATGCAGTGCGTCTGATGAGAAATATGTGACCAATATAAGCACAGAAGTAGCCTACAGATTCACCTGTAACTCTCTATCAACCACACCACCAGTTTTGTAGACATTGTAGACAATATTGTAGACACGGGGTCAGTTTTTTGTGCTATCGATGTATATTGGTTAGATACCAACTTCTAGTCTGAGTGACTTTATTGCAACGGTCAATGTATATTTGTTTTACTGCTATTCTATTTTCAACCTACTGACCAACTTGATCCTGTTTTCAAATAATGTGGTAAATTTCAAAGTTGACTTTTTACGCTTGATATACCTCTCCCAATAAAGGAGAGGCGGCTTTGTCAATGGTCCCATACCCCGGGTTCAGGTTTCATTTCGGACCAGTGGACATTATATTTAGAAAACACCGATACCAGATATATGTAGTCAATCTTTCAACTTAACTTCAAAGTCAGATCCATGGTTTCATATCAAGCAACAACAAGGGTCCTTTCCATACTGGTCAATACCATAAGAACGATAAATACAACTATTACCTGAAACTAGACCCCGCTTGTCTTCATTACAATTGCATTAAATTCATATCAGAGGTGTATCTTGACAATGGAAACATGGCCATTACAAAGGATGGAAACATGGGATATGGTTTCATGAGATTTACTTTGCTAAAGACAAACTTGGGCTACTAAATTTAAACTATCAAAATGTTTTACGGGCATGCGTGCTCTCTCGCACGTGATCACTGGCAGATCTGTGCTGATCAAGATCGATGGCAATAATGTCAAATAAAATATAAAACCGAAGTGTAGGAAATGATCAACCATAACATAATAATAATAATAATAATAATAATAATAATAATAATAATAATCATAATAATTGAATATATTCACTCTTGAAAAAATTACAAAATTAAAAAAGTTTCAGATGAAATTATCCGTAGCCGCCCACCGTTTAACGTCTAAATGTCAATTGACTGGCGGGAGTCTTAGACCAGAGTTTGTGGTTGACCACAGCTGGCTACACGCCATATATGTCGTGATATGTACAGTATGAAATGATTAAGTGTGCTAATAAGAGGTGAACTTCATACATAGCCATTGTCCGAGGTGTTAAATGACCCATTCAATACTATAACCTTGAAATAGAGATATAATCTGGCTCAGAAATTATGATAACTTTGTTATGCAATCTATACTGAATTCATGTAATATGGACGTAATGAACATTTTCAATAGAGTAATCGAGTATAGTTTTGATCTAAATGTTTCTTACTCCGCCTATCCAGAATACGTCACTTACATAGTAGAGCTGTATGCAGGCGGGAGTGGGGGGCTCTATGTGACCATCAATAGGTGTATTTACCGCACCAGGTAACATCAATGGAAGCGCCACGGATTGGGAGCATTTCTATTATTATTGTAAATATTTACGGTACACCAACTTCTTAACCATTTACAACAATTGTTATTTTAAGACCGACAAAGTAACACAAGATTTGTAATGAATTTGGAGACTTTTTGTCACCTGTACCTTAACAACAATTCTCCCTTGCGATGGCGCTCCTGTTTACGCTGCGTTTTCTTGTATTTCTTTATAGGTTGTGAGCAGAATGAAGAGGTGAAGTGAAATATACAAACTTACGAGGATCAATTAAAAAAGGTTACAAAAATTCCTTTTGACTTTCGTGAGACTCAAGTAGAAGAGAAGGATTTCGTGGCCTTTACGTCGTTGTCAAAAAGGCAAGGAGATCTAGTTTCCTTCAAGTAGCATGCGAAGATTTACACCAGAGAAGTAGCATGTCGACGGTAAGCGCCCAGAAATAGCACTCGCACAGCAGAGACTTGAAGGAAACTATGCCGTTCTTCTCTCGAAAAAGTCGAAGCGACATCGGTCAGCTAGAAAAAGGACCTCCCAAATCCCTGGCAACGCTACGGAAGATCTTAACACAGCACACGAAAGTAGTGATAGAGAATTTGGCGACATTAGAGAAGGCTTACTATGGATTTGGAAAGAACCCAGGCAACGAGATAAGAAAGTGGTTAAAACCATTGAACAGCGTTCTTAGCACTTTTGATTTGCCTGAACTACGATCTGCTTTGTTAATTCAAGATGTTCTTAAGCGAGGAGCAAATCCTCGCAGTGTTTTTAAAGTGGATAGGTTTTGTCTCTCTAAGATGCAAGAATGTCACTTGAAAGTGTTGGAATACATGCCTGGAAAATTCAAACCTTTGACGGACGAGGTGGTTAAAATTCTGGGATATTTAGAGAAATATTGTCTCAGTTTCTATGATCCTGAAACAGACCCCCATTTGGGGACGGCCACAGACTACACGCGCATGCGCGGTGAGTGGTCGAAAACTATCAAGAAATGCTTGAATAACATTGTCAGCGCCTCTGAAAGTTACAAAAGTGCGTATGGGGTGACACCCGGGCTGATGGGGACATATGCCAAAGAATTAGGTGCTCGTTATGAATGCTCACACTTGCCTTTTCTTCTTCTCTTTCCTGACGCTTGCGAGAACGTACGAGTCGCATGCAGCACAGTCAATTCGTGGATCAAAGCGGACGAGAATTTCGTCGGTTACCTTAAGAACGATTTGGCGGATTCTGAACGCAAACTTGCCTCTCTGACGAAACTCTTAAAGCAAGCTCAAGAAAAGAGCTATCAAGCCTCGTACAAAGTTCATCAAAAGGAAAATCAGTCAAGGGCTCTGGAAAACGAACTAGAATCTCTTAAAGCCAAGGAGGATGCTCTGTTAGTTGAGGAGGAATATCTGGGCAACGACACCAACGAGATGCAGCTGGAGCTCGATATTAAAGAATTCAGACGCGACGAGCTCCGGAGGAACGCGGCCGGTATGAACACAGAGGTGCTCAATGAAACGTGGGACCAGCTCAACCTCGAACTCAGAGACATTTACGAGACGTTGCCCGCCATGAAAAAGAGACTGGACCACGTTCACAGTAAATTAAAGTGGATCAACGAGAGACGAGAAGCCTTACAGAACGCTAATGGCGGAATAAATGAACTTGCCGCAGAGACTGCAGCTGCTGAGAAGGAAAAAACAAAACTTCAGAGTAGTTGTAACAATGTGACGAGGACTATTGCTATGATCAAACAAATTGTTATCCAAAAGACCAGTGTCAGTGTCCTACAGAGGATATTCTATGACTTGGACAGAAGAGGGGGGCGGTCAAAGATGGACAAAGAAGGTGATTTTGATGTACTATATTAAAAAAACATGTTTCTGCAATTCTTACATGATAAAGATTGTAAAAATCGAGCGAAATTAGAAGTTGCTGTTAGCTGTTACACGCAAAAAAAAAAAAAAAAAAAAAAAAAAAAAGAGAGAGAAAAAGAACGTCCAGGTAAATTGGAGTGGATGGAAAAGGAAAGTTTAACGGTGTATTGCTCTATCAGCTTACAGTATTTAACCTGATGAGTTTATTGAAAAGAAATCATCATCATTATTGTTTTTTTCAATGAAAAAGTATTGATCTTTGATTGTAGTCAAACAAAAATTAATTTTACTTTTGATTACCCATTACCTTAATTGTGACGACACGTTTACGTTTTCTTTCCTTGCAGATGTAGGCCCCCTCGAGAGAGCTTTTCACGTCGTGGCCAACCATATTGGTAACGACTGGATGACCTTATACAGGAACCTCCCTTTCATCCCGCCCAGGGGAAACGCACAGATAGAAGCAGACATCCATGACTTGTCTCACGGTGTTCCTCGAGATCTCACGGAAGATCGCGCACTACGCAGTCTCCAGCGCTGGCGACGTCATCACACGAGAGCACGTGCCCAGGACCTTCTCGATACTCTAGCCAAGATTAAACGGTTTGACCTCGTTCAAGATGTGAATCTGGAGTTGCATCCACCCACTGAAGAACGTCCAACCCCTGAGGAATATCCGGAGTTTATGGACAAGCAGCTTATCCCATTCTATAAAGAGGTGGAGAGATTTGATAAACTGCGGGTGGGGAATGACATGCTCAAACCAAAGCTCACCTACGATTACTGCGACTATTTAGTGTGAAAAATGTCCAGATGTGGGTGGATGAATATAAGAAAATTTAGACATAACATGATTTTCATTAATTATCTTTTAGATATCTGCTAAATCCAAAGATCCGCCCTTGAACATTACATTAACTTATTTTCTTACTTGTATTGTTCAATTATTATTTATCAATATTCATTGGCTATTTGAATTGTACAAAATTGTAGATTATTGCTTGTTATTTGCTCAATGTACTTGACATTATATTTGTATTTGATGATCTCAGGTACTTTAAAGAAACTATCTAGACAACACAAGGTAAACAATTCTTATTTTCAATACAATACAACAAAATTCCTCCAATCTTCGCCTTTTCAACACCTTTTCACCACCAATTTTTGCTTGTGTGTTTTTATTTTCAATGTACGATTCGTATTTTGCTTGAATGTAATGTTAGAATCCCAACACTGATTTTTATAACACATTGAGTAGACCACAACCCCAAAGACAAAGTATAGGGTAAATATGCCGGTATAAAGTGAAAAGTACTTTATGTACACAACCGTAGCTAAGTTGAGACAGAAGAATGCCTCGTTTTTCATTATCAGTAATTTATTGTAATGATAGACTGGATCTGGGGTGATCTGAACCCCCTGTTGGTGGCTGGTTGGGAGGGGGCGGGGGGGAGGGGGAGGGTGCTGCGCCAATTTTCAACTGTGGCTTCTGGCTGCAGTGACGTACAATACACGTACATAGTATTATATTTCGATACCTGTGACTTTACCACAACCAGACAATCACGAATCACGATCATAACACACGTATGAGGTTCATTGTGTATGAAATTCGAACAAAAACTAAGTATTTTTTTATTATTTTGTCTGTTATATGCATCAACATAAACATGTTTATGTTTACGTGTCTATGACCCATTTTCATATGGTTGCAGTTACGTCAATCAATATACACGACCTCGTTTTTAATTTAATAAACGACCCATGCTGTTGATAACTATATTTGTTTGTTTACTGATAACTAATGGAAAGGACTTGACTCTTGTTCACCTTACTGTTAATAACAGACTGAGATTTGGTAAGTGCCTCACTACCGAGACTTGAACCATTTTTCTAATTTGTATAATGCATGCGTTAAACTGATTTTGTGTTTGCACACAGCCCAAAAAAGAAAGAAAAGTGATTTTTAAGTGATCATTTGAAAACAACGGGGAAAGTATTAATAGATATTATGTAGCTTCAAAGTCTGTACCTCCTCCCTCTCTCTTTCTGCCATCTCTCCCAATAGCTCTCTCTACCTCTTCTTACTGGTGAAAATGCATTGGTTGAGACAAATCCCCTCTACCACAATCTGTGCCTTTGTGCCACTGTGACACTTGCATGAACGGCATCTTCTTTACTTAGAGGTAGAGACGGGAAATGCTTACAAATATATAAATGAATTTAAATATAAATGACGAGTCTTGGTATAATGTTTCAGAATCTACATAAAAATTTTGTAGCATATTCCCTGACGGTGTCGCTAACACGTGCACACGGCGGCAGAGGTAGGTCCCGTGTACTGCCGTTAAAAGCGTTCAGCTTTCCAGTAGCAGTCAAATAATGTTCACCCTTGGGGTGCTTTCCCAGAGATTTAGATCGATCTAAAGATTAAGATTTAGATCGACCTAACTCCCTGGGGGTTCACGCTAAATTGCAGTCAGCCGAGCGGGCACCATAGTTAATTACCCCCTTACAGCTTTTAGTAGGCGGGACAGACGCTTAAGCCGGCCAAGCTGACAGTAATCTGGTGAGACTCCCCACAGGGATAGATCGATCTTAAAATCTATGGAAATGGGGTGCAAGTCTATCTGTGTCATAAACACTGGTGGACTTTTCTACCGTCACAAAGGGCTTAGATCAGCCGTCATAGAGGGCATGGGTTAGTTTTAGAGCTCATCTTTTTACGATTGGCTGGAGATTATATTGACTGACGCAAATAACTAAATATTTCCCTTGGCTGATATCAGGAAACTTGTACTGCTTTAATTGAAATATGTTATGTAATGAACACGAAGTAAATAATAATGATACTAATGAAAAAAAGCACTGATTGTTATTGTTCCATTCACGTCCAGTCTTACATAAGGCAATGTGTTAGGCAGTAACTTCCTCACCTTCTGAGATCGTTAATTATTGCTTCTCATTTGATATCGTGTCAACACCGATTACACGCATATTACAGCATGCTGGTATAAATAAATTAGAAGAAGGTTGAGCCAGGAAATGTTTTCACCTGCTAGAATTTATTCTTTGACCTTATGTACTGAGCCGATGTCGTCGAGTATACATTTTCAAAAATGATATCCTTCAAGATATCCCATATCCCACGAAAAGAAACGAAAGATGAAATTATAGATAAGTACTGATGAAATGTACATATTAATGATATTGATGACATTAATCAGACGTAAGAGCTGCCCAGGGACGCTAGAATTGCTATATGACCGGCAATGGCAGTCCACGAGGGGCACTTTTTATTAGAAAAGATGTTCTGGCAAAACCTGTAGATGTCATCTCCTCCCACTGTAAGATATACTTTACTTCTGGCTCTATCTCTCCTTGATAGTCTTTATACTACCCTTAGTTTAAGATGTAAATTGGAGATTCACTTCCGTACAAGAACACGAATAGATTCTCAAGTAAACTCCAAACTGAGCTTCCGGGTGTCACATCATGGGACTGTCATGACATTTAAATGCTGACATTTGTAGTATATTAAAAGATACACAGCCAGAGATGTCTAGGGAATTGTGTTGAAAACAAAGAGTTTGAACAAAAATTGTTGACAAAAGGTCACCAGGCCAGTGACATTCTTAACAGGAAGACTGAAGTGACATATACACATATAGTGCGTGAGATGACCACGGGGAAGATACGTTTTATATTTAACATTGTTTTGCCATCGATAAATAAAGTTTAATAAAAATAAATTAATCTGCTGTGTTGCTATGGTAACAAGCACGAGAGTGTTGTCTGGTTCTGATGGAACTTTCGTCCATTACGTGCAGGATTCAAGTCGAAACTTTATAGCATAGAATTAAAAATTAACGCAGAACTTTCTAAAATAGACCCGCTGTTGTCCTTGCATGAAATACTGCAATCAGTTTCAGGTTTTTGATACCAGAAATCTCTAGGATTCGTGAGCAAAGGGAACAGCTTGCCCCAAAGATGACCATGACTGAAAGCTGGTCCACATAGAATATATTTCAGTTCAAGGTGTTGTCATACTGCTATTATAATGGGACATGTACCTCTGTCAACTGTCAACACATTAAGTCATGGAGCGTATCGTAACTGTGTATTTGGACAGGTCTTGAGCTCGTCTTGAGAGGTAATCGAAAACTGCTGAATATCTTAATAAAAACTTCTTATAGACAATACTGAATATTTAAACAAATAGAAAAATTTCCCCCCGATAATTATATAGTGTAAGTTGCAACCCCTGATGCGTCGGATAATGCATAAACTTAATCCTTCAGTCGTTGATTGCAGTGGACGGTAGTACATGGAGTGAGGCACTCACTGAGTCCTTCTGCCCCAAATAATTGATGCCTAGATGTCTGCCAAGACCGCTTATCGAAATGGCGATAAATAATGGTCATTATTTCTACTTTTTTGTATTTAACAGCATCATTTCAACAGGCATTAATAATAATAATAATAATAATAATAATAATAATAATAATAATAATAATAATAATTATTATTATTATAATAAATCTGCAACTCAAAAATATCAAAGTTTTTCCCTATACCCCGTGCACAATGTATTTCGTCAACGATGGATTTATTAACGCTATTCCTATGCATATGTTTCTATTGCTATGAACCTTTAAAAAAAAGCCTGCTCACTTCGTGCGCTGTAAATCTAACAGCCCTGTATAACGACCCATGAAATAAAAATTGTGAAGTTTGGCTGAAAAATATACGACATTCTTCATGGAATCATTGTGACCCGCGTAGAGGTGTACGCACAGAAGTACGCATGTTGTTTGTTGATTCCGTCATATCTGTACGCATTAAACGTATCCTTCCACGCTACTGTGAACCACTGTATTTTAACATGTCAAAATCTCAAGGGTCAAAACTGATGTCTGTGTTGATGCCTTTAGGCACAGGGGCCATTATCGCCATAACACTATCACCACCACTCAATTAGACGACCTCCTCGCAAGGTGGAGCTGCCGTCTGTCATGTGATTAATAGCAGTACTGTGTAAGTTACGTGGAGTGGCATTCAGGTGAAATATACCGTCATCCACATCAATACTCAGCCGGAGAGTTGGACTCTTACAGGGATTTTGAAATCATCAGGGGATGACTGTAGTAATTTATATCTAGCAGTCAAAGCAGGTAGATTGTGATTTATCGACTTCACTGACCACGGCCTTGCTTTAGTTTTACACGACCACTACTTCTACACTGACACATACAGACACACAGTGTGGTTATTATCTCTCTGCTGCGTCATGGGAAGTTTACAGGACTTGCAGAAACTACTACGAATGAAAGATGATCAGATTCGTGAGCTTCAGCTAGAGATCGAACACAAAAATGGGCTGATCCAGGAATTAAGAAGCCAGCTGGATAAATATCAGTCTGTGTTTGGCCCCAAGAGCCCCAAGTTTGGGCCCAGGAAACAGCGTGCTCAGGGGATCTCAGCCGAGCCCCAGCAGGCTCAGAGGACGGTGTCAGAGCTGACCAGACAGAAGTTTAGGAAATATTCTAAGTCACCCAGGTAAGCTTCATGCTTCATGTTATAGCCGCGGCCAGAGTCAGTAGCCTAAGGTTATGCCTTGTACTTATATGCCTTGTACTGTGGTGTCCACTGTTTAGCAATATGATAGCGTTCCCTGTGTCACTGTCTGCTAGTTATCGGTATGACCTGGTGCGTTTTCACTCAGAACGTGTACTTCTTTCTCTTCCCTTCTTAACGTCAAAAGGACGCAGAAGATAAGTCTTATTTATTCCCGTGCTAGCTTAGGGGAGAATATAAACAAGAGGCAATCGAGGGTTTGTTTGAAGAAAGAAAGTCATACTTAATCAATCTAGTTTTAAAGTCATGCACGTTGACGTGTGTTTGATGGTGTCAGTATACATGTAAACAGGAGACGAGGCGTGGTCCGAATATTGCACTGGTTGCGTGGACTGATAGCTTAACCACATTATAATAACATTCTGTATATACTGGGATGTCTTGCAATCATAGATATTAATACCATCTCCATCTTTCATCGCCATGCTAATAATATTAACTGGGGAATCAGTGGGGATGTATTTTTGTTTTTTGCTTAGTGAAATTTCGTGTTTTCTGCTCAGTGATCCAGTAATTTTGACATTAATTTTAAGGTAGGTAGATTTAAAGCGTCAGTGATCGAGTAATTTTGACATTAATTTAAAGGTAGGTAGATTTCAACCACCCAATCAAAAGGGCATCGTTGTTAATCACAGTCAAAGTAACCGCGGGATAGTAAAAGTTGAGTGTAGCAGGGAAACGTTATATGCCTCAGTTTGCAGTCGCTTTACTTGTCGTGACAAACCCTATCCGGACAGCATACAGTAGCGATAAGTAATAATTTTAGTAAGAAAACATATGTTTTCATTTTAAAGGCCCCCATATCACGCGATATGCCATTTAAAAGGGGTCAACTTTAGATGGTCAAGAGCTATATACTGTTTGCTAAGACCGTGTGCCTATAATCACTATGTACCCTTAAATATTAGTGACCCAGGCTTTCCATTTTATGCGAAATGAACACGCGTGAAATGACGGGAAAACCTGTGTGTTTTTCTGACGTTTTTAGAAATAAACCAAGAATATAATTCTTACTTTAATTATGATTTTCCCATCTGTTTAATCAGTGCGGTATTGTAAAATGCCGGGATTCATTAATTTTACAGCAATGGCAAATATGTGTAAAAACATGAAATCCTGCCTGGTGGCACTAAACGCAAACTCTATGTTTAGCGGGGAACTAAACAAATCTACGGAACTTAACACTACCCCGTGTTGTCTGTGTTATATTTACCTATGAAAGTAATATCAACAATTTAGTATATCTAGATACTAAGCCAACAGCTTTAAGCGGCACACGTTTGGTCCTATTGTTGAATAAACGCTTTCAAGTTGATCTTAGCTGGTGATCTATTGAACTTCACATGGTCACGGGGAATGGTCATCTCGCTGAAGAGAGAGAGAGAGAGAGAGAGAGAGAGAGAGAGAGAGAGAGGGGGGTTAAAGGTTAAATTAAATGGGGGACAAAACAGTTGATGTGAGGAGATTGGTGATCAAACCAACCTTACTCTCGTGCCTTTTTTTTATCTTTTGGAAAATAGAATTAAATGTCGAAGATTGTCTCAACGCGCATCTCATAGGATGAATAATGTGCAAAATATCATATTATATCATATCACATATCATATCATACACAGCTGGTGTCATTCCATTGGTGGGGAGAGGGATAGAGAGAAGTCTGGGAAGAAATCCAGCGACATCCGCAGCCTAGCAAGGTCTGGCCTTTCTATCGACCTAATTGGAAAATCATATTATCCCATTTCCTCGCGAAAGGTAATTTATTTTTGCGATTGGCACACTTGTAAAGCGGAAAGGTCCCAACCATCGACAACGTGAAATGAGTCCGATCTGATAAGCCTGGACTGGTTGTGCCGGCAGACAAACAAACCCCTTCACATTTCTACAGATAACCTGTATAAGAAATACTTAGGTACATTTACATTAGTCAGAAATAAAAAAAAAATCTGATTCCGATCTAGGAATCCCAACTCGAGCCGAGCCGACTACTGCCGGCAAAGCGGTTCATACATCAAGTCGAATGTGCAAGGCACTGACTCGTTTTCCCAGAAAATTAACCCGAATTGCTCCTTACTGGATTCGAGCCGGAATCACAACAATGCGATTAATGTGTAAACGCAATTTTGGGCGCACATGCTCGGTTCTGAATTATGGCGACTTCCGTTCTTGATCGTTGCACTGTCCTTGTGTCCGCTCAGCCACTTAGTCGTGGACAATAACTAAGTGGCCTGGGCTCTTATTATCCGACTCAGTAGCTCAGTAGTCATAAGCGAAAGAGCCGGCGCGGTGTGTGTGTGTGTGTGGGTGTGTGTGTGGGGGGGGGGGGGGGGTTAATTGGGGTTACACCCCCAGTTTTTCTGCTATGGTACCCTCCGACAGAGGTCTCTGTCCGCCGCGGTACCTTCAGACAGTGGTCTCTGTCCGCTATGATCCCCCCTAACAGGGGTCTCTGTCCGCTATGGTACCCTCAGACAGGGGTCTCTGTCCGCTATGGTACCCTCAGACAGGGGTCTCTGTCCGCTATGGTACCCTCAGACAGAGGTCTCTGTCCGCTATGGTACCCTCAGACAGGGGTCTCTGTCCGCTATGGTACATGTTCCCTCCAGCAGGGGTTTCTGCCTATAAATGGAACAAAATTTTGTTTCAAACAACAGCGACTCCTGCCGAAGGTAGCCCTAGATGAAATAGTACGTTTTCACGCAAGTAGGTATTTGTTTCCGATAAGAAAACCAGACACTCAGGCTAGTTGTAGTTTGTTTGAACGGATACGAAAATATTATCACTTAAGCCCATGCCGACTGAATTTATCTTATTTGTTTTCTATATACACGTATGTTTGGGAGTGTCTTATCCATGTTGCTGTCGCCTTGTTTACCTTTAATTTCGTGTGTACATATTTTTCAAGACAACACCACGCGTTACAGTGACAGATAAGAGTTATCCCCTGAAAGCTTCCTCGGAAATTGATCAACTCCATTGAAATGTCACTTTGCTGTTTATCCGGATAGATTAGCAAGAAAAAGTAATTATTTGTCGCCTTTGCAAACCCAGCCCAATTAATTTCACTAATATTTAATGCGATCGCCAGTTTCTGATCATTCAGTTGGCATATGCCAGCATTAAGATGAAGATTCCCTGCTGTCAAGTTCTTGTAGACGCTGTAGCCTTATGCTTGAATCGCGGCAAGATATTCTCATAATTGCCTGACGGTGATTCTGCAAGAGAAAAGCTTCTCTCTCTCTCTCTCTCTCTCTCTCTCTCT